ATGAAGGCGAAGGCAACGTCTTTGCTGGGCTCCCATGGGGTACCCAGCGCCTCGGATTCACTGTCAATGTCCTGAAAGGCGTAAGCGAAATCACGATCAACAGATGACCGCAGTGAGGAGTGAGAGAGATCGTGCACGAGGAAGGTGTAGTCCTCCCCATGCTCGTTGTATGAGTCATCTTCAAAACTGCTCCCTTTATACCAGATCCGCCCTGCTACGCTGCCTCCTCTCTGCGTGACGATGCCATGTAGCTTTCGACATTCATTGTTGTAACGCTCAAGATGGCGTCGTCTGATGTGAAAGAACAAGTGGTCGTCAACCCATTTGAGAATGGGCCCGATTCCGGCTGCGCGCAACAAATCAAGTCCAGCATCAGCAACATGTCCATAGACCCCCGCCGAGGGTCCCATACCGAAGGATATGCAAGTTCACGCAGAGTGAGCCATTCGGCACAATAAAACCACGGTGGCTGGCCATTGAGACGAGTGGAGAGGTACAGTGCGATAGGCTTCAGCGACGTCGAGTGGCCCCTTGAGATCCAGGTGGCAAGGAGCGTATGACCGCACAAACAGTGTCAAATGTTCCCCAAGTGCAAGGGAAGTCATCTGAGCACGTAGACGCATTGATGGAACAGCTAGGGTATAAGACAGAAGGCGACAAAGGGAAAGAGAAATTCTGGATGACGCGAAACTTCCCAGGTTTCCCTGATTTTGGGATAATGGACAGAGGCGAAGACTGAAAATGACCGATACAATTACGTAGTTCAACTGCCGAGAAAGGACCAATGTAGTGTCTGTGCTAAGTTCTTGTTCCAAAATTTTGTCAAACGTGTCCGAAGGTAACAAGTGAGGCACTATTTGGTGGGTTCTGAGTTCTGAGCCGAGGGGGAATGTTGAGATTAAAACCGGTACGTAAAGACTCACATAAAGTAGGGTATCTGGAAGACAGATTGTGACTACATAAGGCGCTTCCCAAACGTCAAACCGGTAAGGTGTGAGTGGGTGAAGTCGTCTGTGCTCGAGAACACTGTTGAGCTCCGTGTGAGGTGCCAAGGCACCCAGAACATAAGTGTGATCGTCGTGAGACCGACTGGAGCACCCTTTCCCGCATTGCCAGTCGACACACAGAGGTTGGTTTGATTTGCGCACGAGAAGCTGGTGGTCGACTCGTGTTGTGAGGGTGGCGCGAGAGTTGTCCCACAGACGATCTGCTGTGCACTCGATGAAGTTGTGTGTGGTCCTCCCCAGGCAGACGGCGCACACAGCGGGGGAGCGAGAGAGCTGGGTGCGCCATCCTGAAAACCCAAACATTGACTGCGGGAGTTGTTGCCTTTGGTGGTGGAAGTGTGTTTCTGGAATTTGGGTGATGCAGATCGTGGTCTGTGAGTGGGTGACAGAGAGCGTTTTGACTTCCTAGAGCGTAAGCGTCCGGTCGCCTCGGTGGATCCGGAGTGCTGAGCAGAGTCCTGTGCAATCCAAAGTCCGAGAGCAACATAGAGAGCAACACAAAGGCAGAAGACAACGCAGAGGCAGAAGGCAATGCAAAGCCATAAGGCAACGCAAAGGTAAACGCGAGGCGTCATGTGAAGGCAAACGCAAGGCGCAGCGAAGACGCGAGGGTAAACGCAAATGCATGTGGTAACGCAAAGGCAAGGATAGCACAATGTGATGCATATGATAAGGCAGTAGCGCAAACGCAAGGCGGTGGTGGATCGTGCCGAGTGACAAATGGGTAAATAAGATCGTAAAATACAACAGAATAGAAGAGTTCATTAGAGGTGATGTTGTGTGGTTAACAAACGGGAGACTCACACTGCGGGCATCAAGAAGGTCGCGCAGACGCATCTGGCGAAAGACGTGATAAATGTGCGAAGCAACGCAGTTTCGTCGAGAATGGAGATATCCCAAGCACCCTTGGCCAGAGGGATGGCGTTGTGCCAGGCCCTCCGTTGTTCTTCTTGGTAGATGAGGATGGCGCGTTGAGCAATGGTGTCAGGAGAGTTCCAGTAACGATGTAGGACTATCGACCCCCAGAAATTGGCTAACATGGTGACCCGTTGGGCAGGCCAGTCATATTCTTCCATTGCTGGATAATGCGAGGTACACTTGAGCGAACTCCACGGTAGAAAGGCTGCAGTCAGCGACGACCCTCGAGGAAGGTTTAGTCATACCAGCGCTAACCCAGACCGTAGAGCCGTCATCTCCAGTAGTGGGCACCATTCCCTCATCATCTCTAGTCCTATAATTTGCGTGGGGTCTGCCACACCCGCGTTCGTCCAGTAGTAAAGTTCAACGTAATGACCTTTGTCAATTTTTCGTAAAGTGAAATCAATACCATAATTTCATCGTCCGTGGGAGTCAGGCCGTGGGCGTAGAGGATGATGAGGTGTTTGGCCCGGTTTCTTCTTCCTTTCGTCATTTTAGCGGCTTCTTCGTCCATGCAAAGAGTCTCCCGAACGTTCGCTTTCCTCTTCGCTAAGTGTTGTTGTTCGAGAGCGAGACGAGTGTCTTCTGCTTCTGCAGTTGGAGTTGCATTGAGCACGGAGGGCATCATTGGTTGTTGTCCAAACGGTGCGTAGCAGATCTGCCGCTTGAGCTTCGGTGGTGGTAGCGAGGTAAGGCTAAGGCGACTGGCACTATAGGCGCTGGTCATAAAATCTGTGACAGATGAGTAAACTTGGGTCAGAATGAAGTCTGTCCATAGGTCGGATATGTGCGAAACAAAGAGATGAAATGATCATATTGGCTGGTTTCGTTCTGGCTTGCGACGAGTCTTTTATTTAGAGAAGTAAGATGTAAGGCATGATTTCGAGCTGTTGAAATGCGCTGATGGTGGTAAGAAGAAAGGAAGGCGTCAGTTAGGTTTGCTCGCGGCACCCGTAGACTTAATTCGTATCACGTGCTCGTGCCTCGTACTTTATAGAAGTCCAACAAATGTAGTACATAATACTATTTATTATTCAGGTTTTCACAAGCCAACATGAATAAATACGAAAGTATGGTGCTCGAGGTCCGACTACCATAAGTAGAAAGTCTAGGTGAGAAATTGAGCATGAGTGTCCGGGCTTCCATAATTATGCTCCTGTAATTCCCACGGCGACCATATCACGCACTGATGCATGTACTAAATGACAACCAGCAGAGGCCCAGTGCTACCCCACTTCTCATCGCGATCTTAGCCAACCATGACGCGGAATAAGTCACCCTGGGGTTCTCCGAGGCCGTCAAACGAACAGTGATGGGAGTGAGCGACCCATCTTCGCCTGGTTGTAGTCACAATACAGGACCTTATCAAGGATTGCAAACTGGGAGAAGGTGTCAAAGGAGGAGAAAGACACGATCATACATGTCGTTGCAGCCCTGAACCGGTGTGGTCAACTGTGCCGGAAGCGGCGAGCCGTATATGAGCTTGAGTAACTGCTAACACCGCTTTCCTCCACTGATTGAGTAGAACTCGCCTTGCAAAGCAAGCTGACCAAATCCCATGAAACTATCGGTTTCACTCGAAGACATTTGCTTGGGCCGCGCATCAAGTCATCTATCACAAGAACGGTCACAACTAATTGTCGACAATGTTTGGCTCCAAAAATCAGCTCTGAAACTTGAGCCTCACTCGCCAATTGACCTTGACGATGGCAGCAGTATTAAGTTTAGACGTAACAGCAATACGTATGCATATCGTCATGTGTAAATCACGTCTTCTCGGTGGGCCAGCCACCATGCCTTGATAATCCGAAGATAGGCATATGTTTGCTTTCCGGAATGTCGCTCAGTAGGTTCAACTTATCGGCTGGCTAACTTGAAGTTCCTGCTCACTCACACTTTATTTTAGCATGAATTTGCCAAGTACTAGATGCTTATCTCCCGCTGCCCAAGAAGATGTCATACGATAACAACTGACCCTATATCACCGCATACGCTCCGCTGATTAGTTGGGCTATTGAAGTTTTAAATGTAGCTCTCCCCGTCCATTATCTATTGTAACTCACCATGTCTAGCGAGCCATCATATTCCGAGTTCAAGCCACTCCTTGGTATGTCTGTCATGCTTTGAATGCTTCTATCGCTCACAAACTCCTTCATGAAGCCCAGAGTGTTGGTTATGGCGTTGTTGTTGGTATGAGGTCTAACAAGGTTGAAACTCTTCGGCTGACTATTTTCCAGGTGTGGGGTTCTTCTTCGCAGCCATCATGTTCATCTTGACCACGCTGCAACTCAAATTCTTCAAATTTTCCCCCGCTTCTTCAGAAGAATTCACGGTATGACGTCGTTCAATGCTCCAGCTGTTCTAATTTCTAATATATCACAAGAGTGCTTCTCGGAGTGTTAAGGTATGGTTTGTATTTTAAGAGACATGTCTCGCTACCTCATAATTGGAAGCCTGGTCTAGTGTGTTGTAGCATGTGCGTGCTGCTACTTGCTTGGTTTCTCAAGCGTTGCTGGACTAAACTTGTGTGTAGCGTAAGTGCATGGACGTGGAGCGCTACCCTTTTGCAATCGAGCACTGCTGCATATACATTCGGTAAGAACTTGTTTCACGTCGGCCACGGCATACGTATTAATTTCACTTAAAAGGCGTTAGTGGTCCTTGGTGCATATCTTTTGGGACTTGCGGCAACCTTGTTGACTCACTTTTTGACCCTGTGTAGGTGGTATGGTGTCGGTGGCACCATTCAGGTCGCTATTTTTGGCATGATTGCCTCCAAGGTAAAGCAGAATGCCAACGGTGCCCATACATTCCTTGAGGTATGAATGACAAATTCGAAAGATCTTTTCACTTGTTCACTGGCATTCAGATTGTCAAGACGCGATTTGGGACAAGTGCTCACATTCTCTTCACATTTTATGGATTTCTGTGTATCTTATTAGTCTGCGGGTCTCTGCTACGTACGTCCCAATATTTGTTCTCGACTGTTAGTGTCACTCATGGCTACGACAGTTGGAGGCTCTGCGACTGTTAGCGCCTTGACCGGCATGAACACCATCGCGGCATGCTTTCTTCTCCCTATTGGTATTGCTGTCTATGTCGTCTTTGGTGGTCTGCGCGCGACATTCATTTGCGACTGGAGTCATACCATCATCTTGTTCACTATTATCTACATATTCGTATTCCGAGCATAGTGAGTGTTTCCTCCTGCATGGGACTAGTTGATCATGGAATATTTTGATAGCGGAACATCACCCGCCATTGGTAGTGTCTCCAGACTCTATGATCTCTTAGAACAGGCTAGCCTCGACACTCCAGTGGTAGGTAACGAAGGGGGGAGCTACTTGACTATGAAATCGAATCAAGGGCTTGTGTTCGGTGCTGTCTCAATCCTTTCTGGTTTTACTGGAGTCTTCTGTGATCAAGGTCAGCGACTAATACATGTCTCATCCAGTTTACATTCCTCTAACGGAACATTTTGCATAGGTTACTGGCAAAGGGTAAGCCTTGTGTTTTGTAGGATGCACCTGACTGAGCAAGGTAGGCGATAGCAAGTCATCCAGAGTCGACCACCAAGGCATACGTCAGTTTCGCATTTGTAGATTTGAAACAATCTGACAGCTTGACAGATGCTTGGTGGTATTTCTTGGTTTGCTGTTCCATGGGCATTTGCATCTTGTCTCGGTCTGAGTGCTCGCGCTCTTCTGACCAATGCAAGTCCTGTTATAGCACACCCCACAGATGATAACTCACCAATATTTGTAGCCGAATTTTCCCACTTATCCTTCTCCGCTTTCTCCAAGTCAGACTAGCGCAGGTCTTGCAGCTCCTGCTGCGGCCGCTGTGCTCATGGGAAAGGGCGGCGCGATCACCGTGCTTCTTGTAGTATTGTACGTATAGACTATGATGGGAAGATGCGATGTTCTGACATGGTATCAGTATGGCTGTGACTTCAGCTGCTAGTGCTGAGCTCATCGGCGTATCCAGTCTATTGTGAGTTGCTGCGTCATCCTTCTAAAGGCAAACACCTGACCATACACGATCAGTTCGTATGAGTGGGTAGTCCATAGCGTGGATATTATTACTGAAAATGACCCCTCACATCAGCATATACCGGACGTATTTCCGCCCCAATGCCACTGGAGACGAGATAGTGAGGGTATCTCACTACTTCATATGTTTCTGGGCTGTCTGGATGGGCTGTTGGGCAACGATTGTAAGTGTCATTCATCTCATCGTTTGTTTCCCGCACAAGCTCAAAATCTACAGCTGTATGCTGCTCACATCGACCTTGGATGGGTGAGTTGTATCGCTCTCGACGCCGATGGCCTCCACTGACGAGTTCGTGGGGAAAGCTATTTTTTGTCCAGTAAGGTTTTGACTGTTGTGATGTGAAGCACTTGCTGAATCTATCCGGATCACAGAGGCTGTATACTCAGTCCTGCAGTCATTCCCATTGGACTTACTGTTTCGTGGTCTAAGCTTACAAAGGCAGGCGTTTTCTGTGGTGCTATAGGCGGCGCATTTTTCGGAATGTTGGCTTGGATGATCGGATGCTGGAAGATATACGGTCTGATTTGTCCAAATACCACTGACATCATGCTGACTGATTTCAGGTCAAATCAACGTCACTAACCTTGCAGAACCGTACTCAGCGCTATGTAGTAGTCTCGCGGGATTGTTTTTCTCTGGGATTCTGACGGTAGGGGTGTCGCTCTCAAGTACGTTTTTACTCCCTCCCAACACCCAATGTTTATTTTTTTCTACAGACCCTGCTGACTATGACTTCTCGGGCACTCGAGCCATCGCCATCTTAGAAGATGCAAACGAAAGTAACGTTTGGGACGATGACACTCCAAACAGAGCATCAGACACCGAATCACAGAACAAGAAAAGGGGCACCAGCGAAAAAGGGTCGTCGTTCAAACAGCCAGTTTCCAACATCATGGAACTCAGGCTAGAGAAGGATGAGGAATCACGTATCAGATCCCTCAAGATAGCGTTCAGGAAGGCGCTTATGTATTCTTCGATTTTGACATTGATTGTTGTCATACTTGGTCAGTATGTCAGCGCTATTCTATTTGCTACACGACTGATAGAGGACCAGTCCCAATTCCCATGTTCTTCTCTCATTATATCTTTAGCAAGAAGTTCTATACCTTCTGGACAGCTTGCTCGATGTAAGTTATCGACGTCAACACGCAGTTCGATAGAGTGCTCACGGACTTTCTTTCGACAGTACATGGGCACTCGCGAGCGGGACATTTTGCATCGTCTTACCCTTGTGGGAGTCCAGAGTTGAGATTGGTACGATATTGGGTTCAGCTTATAGATCAATCTACAAATAGAGTTCACTTTGAACTCCAAGTTGCTTCATGTATATATCTTTCCTGTTGGCATTAGGTTCCAGCTTCGTCTGGCTCAGGAAGAGTCGGAGGCACGAGCTGTGTGTCTGGGCTGGTCCGAGCTTGGGAAGCAGGTGGAGCCGCTGGGTGGGCAGGAGACCTACGAATTCTGTCGTGCTCTAACTCTTGTGTGGTGCAATCAAAATAGTGTCTTTATAATACAGTGACAGTTCAACAGGCTAATTAAGAGAGAGCAAGGAACGAGAAGGTTAACGAGCGAGAGTTTGAAGTCTCGGTGTCGTAGGTAGGTCGAAAAACGAACGAAAGGATTCCAGACGCTAACGCTCACCTGGAAGTGTGGGACACTCCCCGGGTTAACCGGTTACGTCTCGGCACCTGTGCAATGCAATTGTATACCCCAAATTGGCGCCACCTTCATGTAATGCCTTACATAATACCTACCGAAGACAAAAGCTGGAGTCTTAATTGAAACATGATTGCAACCACATCTGATTGAAACATGACTTTTTTGCATGCCGGCAAATGGTATCTCATGGGAAGCCCTTGTTATTGTCTTTTTTGTGCGAGTCAGAACGGGTCTTCACCAAATCTGGTTACTGGTTCGGCAGCGTGAGTTTATTGTCATCATGACCACCTTCGTCTTCCACCTTTTTGTTAATACAAACTTGGCCCATGGACGCTTTGCCAATGCCACACCACCAGGAATCTATTTATTCGCGAATATCGGAATAGGGTGAAATCTAAGGTCTCGTTCGTCTGCCCACCTACAGGCCTATCGATTTCTCTCAGAATCTCCCTACTACAACTTTACTCTTGGCTCATTACCAGGTGCTTCATTGATTTCTCTCGGCAAAATGTGGCACTCGGGCAATACTGTGTCGTTCTCTCATCCTTCCAACCCGCCGAACGAGCTGCACCTGCACAACTTGCCATCAGATACTGTTTTAACATGTGCTAGCGCTTCCAGTTCATCACAAGCAACCTGCACCCAACCACTCGCACCTCCTCAAGCTCACTATTCATCCATGCAGCTCCAGGATGACATGTTTTCACAGTTCTTCGGAGCCAAACCACACCGAACGAGAGTCCTCGAACGGCATGTCCCTCCGCCCTACTTGCGCGAAGGGGAGTTTGAGAAACTGCCTGTCCGTACTGCTTATCCGAGTCCGGATGCAGACAACAAGCCCATAATACTCACTCGCTATTTGTTTTCCTACGGTTTCTGTACGTTTCTCTCGAACATGTATCACAAGATATGAAATTGACAATTCCCTTCAGTCTTTCCAATATTTTGGATAGTTGGAATCGCTATAATATTCTCCCCACTTCGGCCCACTCCTGAATGGGGGATGGGAAAGTCGGAAGAGGAGAGACAAAGGCTGCTTGCGGAGATGCGAGTTTCGGAACTCAAATGGGCCAAGCGTTGTTTATATGCCATGATCGCACTTTTGGTTCTCGTTATTATTGTGTTGGTGACCACCCTTGTTTTGGTAAGACGGTAAAGAGGCGCTGGCGGTTGCTTTACTCTACCTTCTTTCCATACAGCTATTGTGTTCGGCCAACCGGACCTTCATCTTTTCGTCAGCTAAGTACTATAGTTGGATTCTTCTCCTGTATCAGCAACTCTGGCATATCACTTTCAAGCTCAAGCCCTGTTTATACTTATAGACGACATACTTTAGTGTACCACCACAATCAAGCCATTTGTCTCTTTACTGAATGAATGTCCTCTGGGTATCCGAATATGCATTGGCAGTGTATTACGAACTAACAGTGTGCACTAACTAGATCCAGCTCGAGGTAGGAGGCTCCGTTTTCGGATTTCTTATCCAAACCAATGATCTTCGAACTAGATATTGCACCATCAACCATGATACCAAAGCGAAAGCAGAAGTAGAATGGTATGACTCACTGTGGCGATGTGCCGCTTGGGCTTTCAGCTTACCCTGAGCAGATCATGTATCCTGCATCCTAAGGCATGCGGGTGAGTCATGTGATTGATTCTTGGTTGCACAGCGACCTGCGCTCATACTCACATCAGGCCTACACCAGAGGTTATCGCAGCAATCTATATCTATCGTGCAGAGGTCTCCGAGATGACCACACACTTTTTTAGGCGGGGGCAGCTTTTTAGATAATGTCGATGATGTCAAAGCAAGAACAACGACGGTGAGGAACGATAAACGCATTTTCTGTGCGAGGCGATATAGAATCTTGAGGGGGTTCTCGAATGATATCTCTGAGAATGGGTAGACGCTGTAGGACGATGACTAGCTTTTATACTCTGCATATACTTCTGGGCATGGTTCTGGCCGATTTGGCAGAACCGTTATTGCTGAAAATGCAGGAGCGGATTCAGTTGATTACGACTATTGCGTGCTGGCAACATCGACGACCCTCTTCTTAATATTACCCGCAGATTGCTCGCTCTCGTCTTCAGTCTTTCATCCCAAAGCTAAAAAGTTGATGCTCATTCTAGTCACTGATACTTCCGAGGATATTCCATCATCTTTCTCGCGATAAATGCTCTCCGGTATCAGTGTTGTGGCAGAACTACATGAGGTTAGTTTTGCCGGTACAACCAGCACAACAGGCAGTAAAATTCTACCGAGTGTACATATTCATATTATTATCAATCTAGGACTAGTCCTCTGCTAACCCTGAGTACTGAGTTCTGCCAAGTGCTGCCAGCAATTTTTCGTGGAGTCCTGCCCAGTGCCCACAACTAGGGCTGTTCACCGTACGCCGATACCCATAATACAGTGACTCGGTCGGCTATTTAGAGCTCGAGTTGACGGTACGAGTCCCGTATAAGTTGCCGTACTTGTATCATAGGGCATATACGGCCGTAATGCGGTGAGGGTTTGTTCATCCTGGAGTAATACGCACATGTGAGTCACGGGATCATCGATCAACCATTCCGTGTTTATACATGTTAGAAATCAACTGACGCGGTTGTGCTGCGTATGCAATCGTCTCGTTTTATCAACTTGTGGTCCAATATCAAGCAATACAATATCCATGGTAAACTGTGAGAGGCCTTGCGTTGACTGGTGTTAATGCTTATTGGAGTGATAGTTGCGGAGCTCAAGCAGAAGGCGGAGAAGGCCAAAGATGCGAGCGTCACAATGATGGTGAACACAAGGGACAAATATTCCAGTGTTCCTTCTTCAAAAACGAAGTGGGATCCCAACTGGAAGCGTGCACCTCCACCTGCTCCAGCAAGATCGTCGGGTAATGGCCCCCCACCGCCTCCGCTGCGAACACGTCCAAATGCTTCTGGAAGTACGAGAAGCTCTGTTGTGTCACCCCCTCCTCCCTTGGCACACGATTCGCGGACCGGTGCTTCTCCCCCACCATCGTACAGCCATCTCTCTCCCCCACCCACACGCGCTACGAGCTCTTACCCATCGCAGTCGGGATCGACACATCAAGTGGATCACATAGATTGGGCGAATTTGTCACAGGAAGACAAGGATGAATTTTTTAGCTGGCTGGACGAATTTTTCTCTAGATATCTCAATATCGCTCTGCCTTCCGGACGGTCATCTGCAGGAATGAAAGGAAGTACTGCAGTCACAGTGCAGTCAGCTGGACCTCCGGTGTGTATCAGTATGATGTCATATTTGATGCCAGCTGACTGTGATTCTGCCGTACAGCCGGTCAATCTCAATTCACGACCGTCATGGTGAAAGACCTCCTTTTCTGGTACTGCGCCTCTGTACTGTTTGTGAACCATTTCCATGGAATCTTCGCCTACCAACAAGCGCTCAGAACAGTCCACATTTATGGAGCCCGAAAGATTAATGCATAGTTGTTAATGAACGACTGCGAAGATATCCAACACCCGTGAGGCTACAAATCATAACGTACAAATACAAGAGAAGAATTTGGGATATAGGTATTCCGATGTGGGATGACATTCGGACGTCAGCTAGGGTACACCATGCGCCCATATACAATACAAGGTAGCAATCGACTAGATTTACCCTGACGGTCGTACACAGTCAGGATGACGTGTTCGGTACAAATTTTGCACGCGGCGGTCTTCTGTCACCACCTATGAAAAACGTGAATTCCTACGGATAGGGGAATACGAGGACTCGTACCGAGGGGCACCCACAATTCCGCGCCGTCTTGTGCATGTGAGACGTACTCGTCTTACACCGTAAGGAACCACAGTCGGAGGTTACACCGGTGAAATATCTTCCGTGAAAGTGCTGCGGTGCGAAGAGTGCCATAAAATCGCTATCGTGTCAGTGCCTATGGCTTCCATTTGAGAATGAAACCTACACCACACCCTGTCCAATAGTCACCGACACTGTGATGCATTACAAGTGTGAAGGGTGATTTTGGAATCAGCGCTTACATTTCATGGAGACACATCAAGGGCGCAGCGCTAGTGGTGGTGGCGAGAAAGGATGTCTGTAAATGCCGTTGAAGACAAGGTTGCTTCTGTTCGACGAGATGGGTTGCTGAGACCAGTTGGTTCTAGGAGGCTATTATATATCACCTCGCTAAGCGAAATCGTGGCCTGTGGTACATATGCATCCATGATGGTATCCCGCATGTAATATAACAACATACGAAATAAAGAGTATTGAGGTCGGAAATCCAGTACACTAATCCTCGAGACTATCCCGCGGTCAATTTCAAGTTGCCCCAGATGCGTCATTCCGCGCCGAGCCGGTTCCATTCGGATCAAACAATCTTATCTCGTCGCAAGGAACATTGATAACGAAATCAGATCGACATACAAAAAAAAAAACTTTACTGTAGGAGACAGACGGCATGAAGCCGGACACAAGGCTTGCTAGCAACAAGCAGTACATAACAAGTACGTACAAGTCTGACTCTAATATTCAAGATCAATGCATCCGCGACTGGCCGCCTAAATAGATGAGCTGAATTACAATACCCAGGACCATATTCGTCTCAAGGAACAAGATCGTAGGACTCGGGGAGTGGTATATCGTTCTGCCCAGTCACAGAACGAGTGAAAGACAGTGTGCGAATAAACACGGACGTCGGACGTATCGTTGCAATCACTTATATGAAGTTCCGCCACAAACCCTGACCCGAATAGTCCAAACTATTAGAACGTCCTGCAGGGTGTTAGTGACTCCAAGTGACGGCTTATTGAGTAAAGGTTCAGGTCGAGCCCAATGACGTGTCAATGACATCAACCGATCCCGTAGTCACGAAATGGCGAACATTTCAGCTCGTAAAGGCCCAGAGGGTGACCGGGGATGACTATTGCTATCACATAACCATGTGAACAGCAACTGATGTTCAATGCCCATGCAGCTAGTTCAGACCTTGCCAGGCATAACGAGAAGTATGATCCGCGTATTAGGGGGCGATAACGTTGGCGCGCTTGATCTATTGTATAGGGCGCGATGTGTAGCCTTGCGTCTGATTGCGACCGGAGCGGACGAAATTCGTCGATCAGAATAAACAATCACGACGTGTGATTTGTCTATATGGTTCAGGTTGGTAGGAGTCAGACGAACTGTTGACCACGGATGCCTCCGGGGGAATGAGTGACTTGGAGGATCACAGAGTTATGTACACACGTACTAAGTACTTACTGGTTAGTCCATCTTAATTAGCAGTTTAACCAAATCGGAAGACAGGAAAAATTATGGCAGGGATTCAGAGGCTTCGTCGCGAGTGATCATCATGAGTCATGTCGACGGCAAACGATAAAGTTGGTCACGGTGAGTAATATGGCAAAGCCAATATTCGGTTCGGCACTTCCCGCAGCTCCGCTGGAACGTGCATCATTGCTCGAAACACTGGAATCATATTTCGATGGATGACGTGCTTCTCGTACGTACATGTGGACTTCACATTGGCGAGGATGAATCACCTTGGAGTACCATTTCATCGCAAACTTCTGTCCCGTCTCTATCGACTCTAACGGTGGCCTAACTCTGACTCAAGCGGAACCCCGACTCCCGAGTCCCCTTGGAGTCAGGAGACATTGAAGATTCGTGCATCAATACATCGAACCTCGTCCGTGTCCCGTCCGCCCTTGGTAGTATTGTGTCAAGTCTTACCCATGCCACATCACAATCGCGTAGCATCCTGGTCGTTCACATGGCGTTGCGCTTGGTTGAGTTGTTATTCTGATTATCTGATACATGCCATCTTGTAGCAAAAAAGTCAATAACCTTTCACCATACCATCCGAGTCTGTTCTGGTTTGTGCGTTTGTTCGACTTGATTTGTTGTGTACCACCCAACTTATAAATTCAATCAATTCTTTCTGTTTATCGATATCTATCACTCGGGCTCAGCTGCCTCGATTAATCACTAACACCCTAGAAAGCGAAGGTGAGTTCAACGAAAATAACACTGCGGCTCGGGCCTGGTTCGTGGTAGGAGACGAGTGCAATCGAATCATATAAAGTTGGGAGGGTCCAGACGTCCATGTACAGCTCACATGTTTGAAGATGTTGCATGATTCTTGATTCACAAGTGTGATCAGTGATTATTTTAAGCCACAAGACTGTCACAAGGACAGGGTGCTAGCTGTAGCCCAGACCATAGAAATCGCTGAAGCGCTCGGCCTGTGCCGAAGGTGCGCCACGGGAATCTGACGGCCTTCTTTGCTTCTGTGCACGGTGTTTTTGAAGATCTGACGGTCTGACACAGTCTGACACCCCACTTGAAGCACTTGTTCTATTGACCACCGTATATTCATACGACATGGTTCCCTTGACTACCATAGGACTGTGATGAACCAAGTTTTGATTTTTCTGCTCCGCTGTGAAAATACTGGTTGCGGATTCATCGATCGGGTTCCGAGTCAGATTCAGAATTGGTGAATGGTCGGCGACGTTGTGACTTTTGTGAGTCGATTCCCGAAACTACAATAATAACTTCTAGCTTATCAAGCCTCAGGCCTCAGATCCCAGCTTGGGGGTAACTTTTGCCTTGTCTATGGAAAATGACAATGTATCAGTTTTCGCACTAGTGCCGTTTCATACAGGTGTTCACATTAATAACTACCATACGGTGGTGTCACAATCTTGCGTTGCGTGGTAGACTGCGATAAGCCGTACATCGAATAGTCTTGCGGATGGTCGGATCAGGAGTCAGGACCAACTTGAAAGTGAGTTGGACTTGTCGGTCGCCATCTAGGACGAAACATTTCGCTGACAAAATGCCAGATCATCCCAACGTATGCGCCGCAGTTGGATTGTAATGTTACTCGTGCAGTCAGTGATCCGTGATGCAAACTTGGATGTTGATGACATCAGTCACGTTTCTATGCCCCGTGGGCCGTGAGTTCCCCGTGAGCGTTTTTTATTACTTTGTTTGACGCCTCGTTGTCCGTGGCCGCAACCAGTTGCCACATATGTCCCTTCCCATATTACATCGGGTTCCGCATTCCACTTAGAAAGTTGGACTTCTGTGACAGTCTCGTTGGTATACACTTACTACAATGATATCAAACTGATCAACATCAGCAAATGCAGTCCCATTGGCCAAATTCAGCACGGGTGGTGACTGAGTTGCCTGTGTTTGCTGTTGCCCTCGGGTCTGCGCTACTGTTCGTCACTCATGAAGCTTAAATGACGTCTTTGACATACTTGCAGAGTGTCGTACTTGTGGTATAAACAGGAATTTCATCCTACGGAGTTCCATGATATGGTCCAGTTAGTGAGTTATCTTTTTATCCTATCTCGATGCACTCTTCGCGCCATTCGGGGCATACCTTATGCCTGCCTCGTGTTTGTTGCATCGATCCTGCACTCATAGAATTCTCTGTTGCGGCTTCGAGCTGGGCAAGGGGAAACGTATGGCTTAATGGCCATGTTTCCCTTCGTTTTGGTACTGCTGCCGAGCGCCGAGAAGTTCCAGGAACCGATAACCACACAGCCAGACTTTCATGTTCGAATGAGTTCCGATATGCTCTAACACTGATCAACATAGATTCAAGTTATCTCCAGCAACCAATCGATGGCATCGAGGAAACCTAACTCTGCAGCTTCAGCAGAGAATAGATATCGATATTGAGTCCGGGCGCTACTTATCCGTATTCATAAGGCGAGTCTCTTTACAATCGCCGTACTGGACCAAACAAGCTAAACACCATGTATCGACACAACAGTTACAATACCAACGTATCTCGTTCACCCTCCCTTAGCCAACGTAAACTCGTGGCTGAATTCCGTCCTTCGTCTCCGCTCGTTGGGGGATCGCCCGTGTCCGTGAGCACTACTGAGACACATCATGCGATCACAAAGACTTCATGGCTCGAGAGCGCTCGTGAAAGCACTAACAACTTCAAACTGAATGGCTCACCCGTCCCTCTCGTTTGGGTGAGGAGCACGGTGATCGATGTTCGCTGAATCTCGCTTACAAGTGTACAAGGTTTTGGTCGAGGACAACGTCATCCCGCCGAATGCTGTTCCTTTTGGCGAAGACAAGAACGGATCGCAACTGTACATTGCTCGTGCCCTGCTCGAGGTAGGTTATCTCTCGCCGCAGTATCGCAACACTGATTGACTGTGCCATATCTCTCAGGGCGGGCTCTGTAAGTATATTCTGCTGATAATCAAAAGACATTGCTAACTTAGTCTTAGACCTCGGAAAGGCAGGTGCTCACCTTCAACATGCCCTTATCAGTTATGGCGGAAGGGAACACCAAGTACGTTTACCAAATCGAGAGTTACATCTCTCAGTGAAATTAAGACTTGTATGTTTCCAGATCCATAAATACGAAGTCCTCGTGTGTGCTTCTCAACTTCGCTGGGGCCTGGCCACCTATGAGTCAGTAGGATCTTTGAGTCAGGGCACAGTCGTACTTGCACAACAAAATCAGCAGCTGCAATCTCAACGCGGGTCTGCAGCATGGACTGCTCAAACTGGCGGTTTCTCCCAGCGTGGAGGAATTCAGGGTGGGTATGTTGCACAACCTGGACTACCCTCTGGTTTCGTCGCACAATCTGGCCCACAGGCTGGTTTCGTCGCAACTGGATATACTAATACCCGGGAGGTGTCCAGTGTGCGAGAGACCAGAAGTACTTACAGCTCTCGCGAGACTTCAAGCGTCGTTGAAACCACGCTGCGTGTCGACGATATTCCAAGGTTTATCCCCAATCTTGATAACCTCAAGCTGATGAAGCTTGCGTACGAATTCTTTTCAACCACCTTGTTACACACCTGACGGTCCTTAATAGTGACTACAAAACCGTGATTCTGATTGATGATTCCATTTCTGTCAGTGTTCCTTTCGTTGTGATAGGACTTGAAGGTTCTGATCCACTTCATTTAGATGGCCGAAGAACATTCTTGGACCCTAGTCCGTGAGGCGCTGGCGGGAATCGCTGATCTTGCGACTCAGTATGGCTCTCAAGGAATCGATTTACACTTCTTGCACCATGAACATTACCATCAAAACATCAAGGTCTGTCTGGCAACGCACAGCTTGTAGAGATGTACCTTGATTGACCGGCTTTTTAGACGAGCCAAGAGGTCCAAAGCATTTTCAATCAAACGGCCCCTAACGGTTAGTTTCATCCTTGACGATATGTGAAGCCGAAAATGACACCGAGATACAGGTCCAGAAACGCCAACTGCTGCGAAACTGGAAGAGCTTATCAACATCTACCTCCCCCTCGTGGAACGAAAGTTCCCTCAACACAATCCTATCGACATTATCATCATTACCGACGGTGTCGCAAGTAAGTTATGCCCCGTGTGCCTTGGATCGTTGTACTGATAATGCGATGTGAATTAGCCGATCAGCAAGCTCTTCCTGAGGTTATCGTTAACGCAGCCCAGCGTCTGGAAAGAAGCCAAGTTCCAGAGGGAATGTTTGGCATCCAGTTTGTACAGATTGGCACAGACGCGGAAGCTGCTTTGGCATTGCGCGCTCTGGATGACCACCTCGAGAAGCAATACAAAATCAGAGTCTGTTTTATATTGCTTTCTAGCTGGTTAAGCTGTACTTATATTTCTTGTCAACAGGATATCGTGGACACCACACCTTACGATCCTCAACAGGGCGCCTTCAATACAGATTACATGCTGAAGATCCTGCTCGGTGGTGTGAATAAGGTTCTTGACAATGGAGGTCCTGTGCCGAGCGAATTGCTTCAAGTTCCCTCGCTCGTAATCCCCCAATACGGGCCGAGGTAATCAGTCAGTCTCAGCATTAAATTTCCCGAGATGTCTGTATCGTATAGCGAAAATCAGTTTGCGGTGCATGATAAATATTTCGCGCAATTAAATAAGTCTATGTACATATGTTCAGCTGTTGCCAGAAACAACCCCCAATAAGTAATCTTGACTTCCCATATGCACTACTCCTTACTCTCATCAATCACATCATCGCGATTATCCACTATATTCGTCCCATCCATTGGGACGACTTAGACCTAACAAGTTGTTGGATACCATACAACGAGGGTACCTTGCGTCGTGGTGAATACCGCGAGAAGACAGGTAATTACCCCATCGCATTGAAGTGGATGAAGTGCTGTTGGATCCTTCCGGAAAGTGAATCAACCAGTCAAGTCAGATGATCTCATCAACGTTCCTTGCGATATGTGCAATCAATCCAGCCTCCCAAAATTCAAATACTTGCTATCGATTCATCCACGAAGACCTTGGTCGGTGGGCATGCTTCCTGTTTCAAGGGAGCTCTCCACTGATCAACTTTGTTGGGTCATGGTAAGCAGTGTTATCCATCTGATTCCGAAATGAGGCAACGTGCTGCGTCGCGCGGTAGAGATCCCTGTGATGATCTGATCGGCATTTCCCAATAATATCTTCCTGGCCAACCAGCCTTCAGGGATAGATGAAGGTTTTAACAAACTTCTGGTACATCATACAGTGTCACATTGCGCCTTGTGTTGATGAACTATTCTTGTGCTTGTACTCCTTCAAGAATCACGGAATTTTCTGTTAAACTCTATGGCTCAGTTGATATCGATGGATTGGGCGCCAATGCCTGATGCCTGAAATTCACGGTATAAAGTGGTTTCCAGACAATCTCCCAGGAATGTACCTCCAGATTAACAAACCAACACTCTACGATGCGTAGCTCCACTCCAACTCAGTTTCAGTCAACAAGGTCATCGATTTCGAGTAGCACCACGCACTCGAATTCCGCCGCTTTCGGCCCTTCGATGCCAGAAGCTCGTCTGACGTCGTATCAGCAACGTCCGTCATACCTAGCCCCACGACCACAGCTAGCACAGTACGAGACACCTCAGTACCCGAAACTGGGACATGAATATGGACGCCCACCCCCCACAGTCTCATATGCAGCTCCTCCACCGCCAGTATTCAGCAATGATTCACCCGTTACCACTACCAAGCACAAGAGCGGCTGGCTTGAAGAAGCTAGGGAAAGCACTACTAATTTCAAGAAGAATGGCTCACCTGTACCGCTTGTATGGGTAAGGGTGGTGTCGATCGAGGTTAGAATGGTCGCTAAAAGGTCCCAAAGATCTTTGTCGAGGATAAATCCATTCCACCAAACGCTGTTCCTTTTGGCGAAGATCGCAATGGACAGACGTTGTTCATTGCACGTGCTCATTTGGAGGTAAGATTTCAATACCATGGAATCCTAGATAAAGACGCTCACCTTCAGCTGACAGGGAGGTCTCCGTAAGTTCTCTTAACATGTAGTGTGGGCACTCCACATGATGAACTGCTCAGATCTCGGAAAGGTTGGTTATAACACCTCAGGTGCCCTGATCAGCTACGTCGGCAAGGAACATTTGGTATGTGTCTATTATTTCGCACTTGTCTATCTTCATTTTTGATTGACTTTATGCGATACCAGATTGAAAAATACGAGGTTCTAGTATGCGCATCTCAGCTTCGCTGGGGTCTACCATTCCAGGAGGAGACGGGAAGTTTATCTCAGGGCACTGTCGTCCTCGCTCGTCAGCAACAGGGCAGACAAGAGCTCAAGCGCACTACAAGCAGTGTGTGGTCGCGCGAGACTCGGGAGACTCGGGAGTCCACATCAGTCCTTCAGACTACCTTCCACGTAGATGACATTCCTCGCTTTGCTCCTTCTCTTCTGATGCAAGAGGAAGACCTGCGACGCGTGGCGTGCGTATTCACTGCTCTTTATTAACCATATTCTTATTATGTTTGTGACAGTGAGTACAAAACGGTTATCCTGATCGATGATTCCATCTCCGTAAGGACGGCATTCTCAATAATTTAGTTCATGACTGCTGATGCTCTTTGTACCTAGATGGCTGAAGGTGATCTTTGGAGCCAAATGCGAGAGGCTCTTGCTGGCATCGTTGACCTTGCCATACAATATGGGTCGAAAGGGATTGATCTACACTTCATGCACCAAACTCAATTTGCCGAAAATATGAGGGTATGGGAATCCGTTCGCTGGTCCTATTCTTTTTTAGCTTAATAGTCTCGATCAGTCTCGATCCGAAGTCCAGAAACTTTTCGACCAGCTCAGTCCCACTGGTATGTATATCGCATCTATCGAACTTTATCAGTGAATCATGCCCTTTATCCAGGTGAGGACACACCGACGGGAGTGCGACTCGAACAGATCATTGAGATGTATTTGCCACTCATCGAGCACCCGAACTCAACTCACGAACCGATTTCTATCATTGTCATCACTGATGGAGCCGCTAGTAAGGTAGTATTTCCGTACCGAGTTCACATATCTGACATACGCGGGCATCGCTCTAGCCGACGGTGATGACTTATTGCGATGCATCATTGAGGCCGCCAGTCGCCTTGATAGGCAGCAGGTTCCTCTCGATAAATTTGGTATCCAATTCGTCCAGATCGGCACGGATCAGGATGCTGCAAGGGCGCTCCACATGTTGGACGACGAACTTTCTGAACGTTACAAAATTCGGGTGCGTCTCGTTTGCGATTTCTCGTACGCTTTGACTCATGACCCTTCAGGACATCGTCGACACCACGCCCTTCGACCATGATAATGGCGCGTTCAACACGGACTACATGGTCAAGATCTTCATCGGAAGCCTGCACCAAAGTCCTAGCAGTGGGGTTGCTGAACTGCCCTCACCGGAGAGGAAGCCCCAAATCGTGGCGATGCCTAGTTATGACAGGCATCCATCTCCTGCTCCTATGCCTGCCTCTCCACACTTTCCAAGTGGTGGCCTGCGCGCCCGAGGGTATTGAAGAGATCAGATATATATGCCACGCTTTACGATAGACTCAAAATCACAATTCCATTTACGCTGTGTACAACTTTTCAATAGGCTACGATTTTGATTTGGTATCTGTTAAAAAATCCATTAGTTGTATTGTCTCATGTCAGTGAAATGTCAAGCTAGAGGCTGTACTCGACATACGTGTCGTAGGATGTAAGAAATATTTGTATCAGAGGTTCCGGCTGAAGATGGATATATTTCTAATAAGTGCACCGATGAGAAATGCTGTCGGAATCCCAGGTGTCATGTGAACGCATTTGCCAAGTGACTGCGTATTATGTAGGATAGTCTTAAGAATTTCCAAGACAGTGAAATTTGAGCTTCACGAGCAACAGGTCGCGAGACACACTTGTAATCTACACCAAGAGCTTTCTGCGCAAACAGATGCAAGACCTATGCATGCGATTAGCCGACAAAAATTCGATAGTCTAGATCCCATACCTACCATCCCAGAGACATGCAAATCAATAAAAGTTCGTAGATGGTCCAAGTTCAAGTTCGCTCGTACATAACCTTAGTCGACGCTCTGCTTCCGATAATTTATCCATTCTTGTTAATTTGCTTTGACCAATGCAACGTGCAAATATGTCTGTTGACGTACCACTCAAACCTGAGTGAGACTGTCAAGTTGGATGCCTGAGTCGATGGTAACTCTAAGGGCGCTACGGGAATGGGCCGGTCAGGGGGGAGACAGAGTGACCTCGTGTATATTCGGCCAGCGATTTGACGTGAACGGTCAGTTTAGCTTTGGCGTGACAAGGGAAGAAGAGGGAGACAGATGAGGAGAGAGACATCAGGGGGGCCTTCCCAGGGTTTGGGCAGGGACAAGGACAAATCCGTCAACAGAAGGATTGACCTGTGACTAGGCGCATGCCGAAGGGAGGCAGACTCCAACCCTGAGCGCTGAGCCGCAGGGACGAGGTACGAGGCACGCTGCCCAACCGCGAGAAGGCGGAGCCATTGCGCTAAGTAGCAGAGATCTTTTTTTTTCAATGTGCCGAGGGGCTAGGAGGTCTGGATCCTGCCAGTAACATCGGATGACCAGCGCCTAGAGCTTTGATGACATTTAGAGAAACCTCGGATAGAAGCGTCCGTCTATCCTAATCGTGCCTTCCTGTGCCTTGGGGTTGGAGTCTTCCTGCCTTCGGCATGCACCTGGCAACAGCCTAATCCTTCTGTTCAGACAGATTTCATTGTGTCCGCCGCCGTTGGTTGTGCGTGGTCCTGAAAGGACCGGCAGACCAAGATTTTCAGCTTATGGTGAAGATTTCGCGATGCATATGTATGTATTCCGTGCGTCTACCAGAACCAGTCAGCGCCGATGAGCAGACACTAGCACTAGTAGGCCCTTGGCATTGTGAATGGTAGGATAAGGTCATCACAAGCGGGTAAAAAAGCTGTAGCTGGAGTGAAGGTCAGGAGTGCAAAAATCAAGTACAGCTTCGCAACTAACTTTATACTCTCGCCCATCGTGCCCCTTTGCACGGTTGACTCGCCGTGCTTCTAATACTCAGAAGAGTCGGTATGCAGCTAGTAGCTAGAACCAGAAGATCAAAATCAGATTGCAAATGATGGTATAGTACTCTATAAATTGGTAAATAGTGACACAGAAGTTGGAGATTGCAAGGTAGCAAAGACGTGCAAGATATCAGTCAATAAATGTGAGTAATGTTGGGAAAAGCAGAACGACAAAAATGAGAAGAGAACTTCAATGGCTTCGAAAGACCAATAGCATCGTGTTTGCCAAGGGAGACCCTTCACTTCAGCGAACGACCGAAATAATAAAGCAAGTACAAGCGAAGAGTGCTCGCCAACCTTGAGTAAAATCTCGGATAGATATGCCCGAAGGGAAACATCATGGAATCGATGAGGCGTGACGCCTACACATCAACCCGGAAGCTCATCACCTGTGGTAAATATGCAGCACCTGCAAGATCAAGGATATGAACATCGTCGAAAACCTCGTGACCATTGAACTGTACGGACGAATGATGTTAGTATTTATAGGACATTCAGTTCGAAAGAACAAGGTCGACGAAAGACTCACCCCTCCAAAAACAAACAATCTGCTATCTGCAAGGATCGTCGCATGGTATCCGCGCGCGGAAGGGGGTTTCCCTTTCACTATTCGTGGTTCGTATTGGAGGTTCACTGTGCTCGAGTGCGTCAGTTCGTTTTGAACTGAAGTTTGAAACCATGGACGTGTACTCACCAAGGTTAAACAAAACAACTTCGTCTTTATACGCCCCGCCGTCGTGTCCGCCCACAATGAAAAGGCAGCTTCCAACTTGCGTAGAGGTATGCGAAAGCCGTCGGGGAGAGAGAGGGAGATTAAGACGGGTCCAAACGAGAGAATCTGTCGGGAAAACAAGCTTAACAATCAGGACTGGAGGAGAGAACAGACGCGACGCGAGACCCAAAACATTACATAAATGACCCACCAAGGCGTAAACACCATACATCTGAAAAACATTCTCTCCCATCGCTCCCTCCGACCACAATCATAACATTCCCTACTAAATTGGCAGTGTGGTATCCTCTTGGTACGGGCGGCTCACCCTGCGTTTCGACGAGGGACCAACGAAGCCCGCCGCTTGCGCCCGAGCCGCCAAAGGAGCCACCACCGTATGAGTACGTCTGTTTAGAGACACTTAGTAACGTGAGGACACTGACTAACAAGCTACACACAGATTGTGAAGTAGGATCTAACCGAGAGACATCAAGCGCCCATAAATCGTTGAGGGCTGTGAGGCCATTTCCTCCCCCAAAGATGTAGATCTTGCCATTATAGAGTACAGCGGTATGGGCACGACGCGGTGCTGGGTGAAGGGGCCTATCTGGAGGATTCTGTGATTGCACTGCGGGAGAGAGCAATTCAGACTTCGTTTCGGGGTTCTGCGACGGGGATTGGGAGTGAGGAAACAAGGGACAGAACCAGGAACGCGTAGTAGTGTCAAATATATATGTACTGTCGTAGTACACTGGGCCTTGGCCCCCACCGAAAATCACGATTTTACGGTCGACAAGAGTAGCAGTATGGGCGCGGCAAGGTGGTGGAACGTCACCGATGGTGTCAGGATGTGACCAGTGCATTGTATCTGAAGTCCAAACTCCATCAGAATCTTACAGGTAAAACATGCATCCGAGTCAGAAAGAAGGATGGCTGACCGGTATCAAAACAGTACACATCCTTCCAACAGCCTTTATCATCACATCCTCCGAACAACCAGGCAACATGGTCTACAAGGGTGACCGTATGAGCCCTAAACGCACGCATGGGGAGCATACCATGAATTGGAGCTTGTGACCAGTAGGGCGCGGTTGCAGGTGCAGGGGGATCGTCGGAGTGTGGCAGACGTGGGGTAGCGCGAATGCGCGGTTGGGTTTTTGAAGAGTATTTACCTTCCTTGGCAGAAGGAGAAGAGGCACGCCGTTTGGAGGAGGAGATAGATTCAGCGGGAACCGCGGTGGAGGTGTGGCGTAAAGAAGAAGGTCTTCGAGAAGCGGCGGCGCGAGGTGTACCAGGCATTGTTTGAGTTGATGTTGAGCTCGCAGCTGGAGCGTTCGCGACAGATGTAGGTTGTACACCAACGTTGAACGTGGACGTTGAAGCTATCGCCTGGTGGGTTGTATGTATGTATGGTGAATGGGTACTATCAGTGTTGCTATTAAGCTGCTGTGCTGTCGAACGGGAATCATCATGAAGTGAGAGCGAGCTCATGGTATCGTTGTCATCGTCGTCCACTGGCGCGAAGAGAAGCGTCGACACCGTCGTTGAATGTGTTGCAGAAAGATCGGGATTGGTCCTTTGCCGTCCCCGCTGTGCCATGGCGATGTGCACAAGCGAGCAATCGTGGGAATAATATTTGGGCTCGTGGAGTAAGTAATTAGCGCCCTGCAACCTTCATCTCGAAGTGATTTACATTGTTTCGAATATCCAAAGATTAAGCGCTCATTGACACTTTGCTTCACAGGAATATCCCTCGTACCATATCGTGTCTATTGACGATTTGGGTGTCCGGGTCTCCATTAATTCAAACTTTCTCAGAAATGCATAGGGCGTTTCTGATATTTTGTCAGGTCGTGCGTCTTTGAAGTACCCAGCTTCCAAAGACGCTTTACCTGACATATCACAAAATGTTTTCCTTTACTCGTTAGATCTTCCAGCTAGCGCGTACATGTGTATTCTAACCAACGAACGATTCATCATGATAACGATAACAACAACGATAGCGACAATAGCGACCGTAATAGTGTGAACAAATGAACAATGTGTGCAGTCAGTGAAGGGACAATACGTTCATGAATGAAGAAGTAAAATATGGCTACATCTCATAGACGTCCTTGATCTCATTAGCATCCCAAAAATCCGAGTCATCCTCTTTCTCGCCTTCGTCCTCTTCGATGGACTGTGTGACCTTGTCATTTTCTGACGATCCAGAGAGAATTACAGGATTCATGAAACTAGGCGTTCCGAACGCCTGCGCAACACAAGTTGCTGGGGGCGCGATCTGCATGTTCTGGGATATCGACGGGGCGAAAATGGGGTATGGGGACTGTTCACACTTTCCGCTGTTGGAGTGCCTCTTGAAGGCGTCACGTCTCGTATACCTAGTCGCCACAATATTAATTATGAAACGCGTTAATGTCAAGAGTTGGGATACGCACGTTTTGGAACAACCAGGGCATTTGAATCTCTCTGCTTTGAAGCCTAGGTGCGTTGTGGTTTTGAGGTGCTTGCGGTAACTTTCCGGATAGATTACCGCGCCATCCCTAGAACACACATATTTTCCGTTTGGTTGACCGTGTTCATTAATCGCGGGCTTCTGTGCCAATGTTTGAGAGTGTGACCTCACAAGGTGAAATCAAACTCACAAAAACCAGGTCGTTCGTTATCCCGCCCTTGACGTAGCGGTGTTGGAAGTTTTTCGCGATGCATTTTTGATTGACCAAAATAGTTCGTGTTTGAGGTAGAGAGGAATTAGAACCCGTTGTGAGCTCAGGCTCATGATGCTGGTGCATGTTCATTATTGGTAGATCGCAAGGATTTGCAGCTCCCGAAACAGAAATTGATGATCCAGCACAAACACCAGGGAAAGGTGCAACGGGCATGTATGGGGGAGCGGGACCACGCGCCCCATCAGGCGTCGAGGTGAATTTCAACCGTAGAAACCTTGTATTCGGGGAACATTTTCCCTGAAGCAGCATTATTTACCAAATGGAGTGGTTGTTTTGCTCAATGAATTCAGCTTTTCAACCACACTTGAGCTGTTTATTCTTGTTTCAAGTCCGCGATATACAAGACGAGAGATGGCTGTGAATGCACCGTAAATGTTTTTGTCCTCCTGAGGATAATAATCTGATTGGACACCACAACTTACGTTTCTGGCTCCTGAACTGCTAAACGCATGATTTTAAAGACGACTCACTGGAATCCAACTCAAGGAGACTCAAGCCCAAGCCGCGTCACGGGAAAGAATACCATCATGTATTTCGTTGTGAGTAATTAATTACTTTCCTTTAATACATCGCAATATCCTGTCGTAGATTTTGACCCAACTTGACTCCTCTGACCAACGTACAAAACTGACCGTGATTTTACTTTCTTATTTTCCAAACTACCCACAGAATCAAGTTGAAGGAAGTCGCCACCTTGCAACATTAGTCGATCGACGCAAAGGTGTGTCTTTGCCACCCTATCGAGAACCTACAGCAAACCACTATTTAGTGTTTGTATGAATTGTAACAAGACGATGCAGATTGCAAGGAGTAACATTCTGGCCCGAAAGGACGGATGATACGGATACCGTGAACGGTAAAGGAGCAAAATTCACTCACCCATGTCCTCGACGTCTCAAGCTCAGACATACTGAAGAGCTCCTTCATCGTTTTACAGTCGCCTCGGGCATTTCTTTGTACCGCTACTGCTCGTAAACATAGCAGAGAAGCGACATCTGCATGTCCTGGTGCAACTTGAATCCAGAAGTCTGGATCAGATGGAGCGACAACATGCGCAGGAAATAACTATGTATAAAGATGAGATTGCATTATTGGTGTGCGGGAAGTTGTACCTGGGGTATTTTTGACATCTGCAGTGAACGACCAGCGCATACTGGTGCGTATACTTTCGAAGTGCGGCCAAACGTGATATTTCCGGTCACCATCATTCATGGTCCAAAAGCTCTCAATACTGATGTTTCGACCATGAAGATAGGTTGTCGTTTGGTCAACATATGACCGTCCTACTGTTCACCTGTCAGTGCGCCTTGCTAGCACAACCTGGGTGCGTGTCAAAAATCCTCTGTGTCATTCTTAATGATACTCTTTGAGGTCATGGCTTTGAATATGACGACAGAGGTGCAGAAACGCATCTAAATGGATTTCATAAGGTCGTCAAAGACAACCTGGGTGCAGCAAAAATTGGTGTGCATGCATGGAGAGAAGGAAAACTTGGTGATCTTCAACAGTATCGAGCATCCGAATCCCGATAGGCCCTCGGCTTGTTCAGTGTTGTGCAGTTGTTTACCTCACATTTATACAACAGCATACTACTTGACTTACAAGAATACGACTCAACGCTTGAATCTAACGAGCTTTCAATTCAAGTCAAACCAACCCTTTGTCATTCCAGAGCAAGATTGCGACCTTCAACTTCCACCTCAGCGCTTATGGATCATGAATTTGATTCTACCGTGGACCTTCTCGAAGACGAATTTCATGCTGACAAAAGCCGCACAGAATCACAAGAATAGCGCCGAGTCATCAAGCAGACTTCAGAGTCATTTTTGCTTGATCCCGGTCCCGGAGCCATTTAGGATGGAAATCACGTTGCGCTCTCTCGCGTGAGAAGTGACCACTTAGGTGAACGCTCATATGCTATAGATCGTTATAGGCTTGCCTAGAGCAAGTAACAGTCATCCTCAGCTAATAAGAATATGACGTGCAAAGACAAAAGGCTATGTAACTTGCACCGACTCGGAGCACTGACGATTTATCTGCTTTTTACTTCCGCACATTGTAACCTCTTTGCATGCCTCTGAGATTGTGCTCATATTTAACTCTGAACTTGGACTCGTACATTTTTCTTAGATCCATCCAATTCGAAGTGATCACACCCCGAATTAGCATCCAAGTTGAAAATCGAACAGTAATTCGGGCTTACAAACGCGGTAGCCTGATAACATCGGCGCCACCAAACACAGGTGCGTTTATTTCTGCACTCCTGCCGAGTTCTACGAAGGAGATAAGCCACTTCTACTAAAATAGACCTATGATCTCCTATGAATCCATCACATGTAGCGTTGACCGAATAGGTGAAAATTTCATCGTAGCGCCGTAGGCCTTATGATCGGACCTTTGGTCTATTTTGATACTATCCGTAGCTATCCCGGAAGGGAAGGTACGTCTGGACTCTGCATCAAGTTCCGTGCGTCGTTAACTGATAGAAAATTGATACATGCACATAGACCTAGCAAGCCGACAACGGTTCTGGAATGAACGTGCTGCTACCCTTGATAAATGGACATAACTGTCTCGATATATCTTGGTAAATAGCGAAGGTGCGCAACCATGAGGTGCCATTCAAGCCCTACACACACCGCAGATGCGTCCAAACACCAATTTTATCATTGTCTTGCTCATCTTTGCCTTCCAAGGCAAATTGTGTCTTACCACGACAAAAGAATAAAGATTAGGTCATCCAGTTTTGCTGGCTTTGTTCAGATGCATGGTACTCGTGGAATCGGCAGCGCCAAGATCTTCTTCGCACGGGTGCGCAATCGCAGCCTGATCTGTGGAACAGTCATTCTGTATGGAATCCATCTTCCATCAGTCAGGCCGACGGCTCGTCTCTGTCTTTCGGAGATAAGGAAAACCAAAGGAACTGGTTACACTGGTACTTAGATTGAAAATTTTCGAAAATTGTTGTGCTATTTCTGTCACCGAATTTTTCACGAAAAACTCAGCCTGAAAATGGAAGATAGGTTGGGGAGATATGTTGCAGGGCCACACTTATAAGATGCTGGAAAACGCTCTAACAGTTCATTCAAGTTGCACGAGAGACACAATACCAATAACATTATTGGACTCACTAGTATGGCCCAGAAGCATAGATGCTGCTGCTCGCCATCATTCTTTCACTGGGCGAGGTCGACCCATGCCACTCGAGCCTTGGAGACGGCAGCGGTCTGTGGCAAGGTAATGTGTCGAGAGGATGATACGCATGCCGGTGATGCTAGGCGAAAATCGATTCAAGCTGGACAAGTCGCACACCGTAACTGAGGCTATCATCCACCAGGCCATCTATGGGGAGGCTCCTCAAGCAGCCTAAACTATTCAATCGTCTCATATTTAGGACGAGCAACCGAACCTTAGGTGCCTCTTATCAGTAAAGCGGTACAAATGCGTCATCTTGTATTCTTTTTTCGACACAGCTACTCTCGCTAACTATTCTGGTACCCACAATTGACGCCTAGATCAAACATCCCCCATACGACCTGCTTCGATCCTTGACTACAATGGTGCATTCGCACGAACTCGGATCAAAGCAATTGCAAAAGGTCAAGAGTTGTTCGTGGGGAGTCCCTCCTCGAAATACCGCGGTGAACGTATCGTCCACATGTCCCAACGCTGCCCCTTTGGGTGACCGTCAAGATCACGAAGCGATCGATTACTCGACCATGATTTGACAGGTGAAGCGGTCCCGACTAGAAGTTGTGGGTTATTTACAATCGCCAAGGTAGACACATGTTTCCGCTATCGCTGTCTCTCACCTGACAGGCCCCGCTGGCAAGATAGGCCACAGCATGATATGACCTAGTGCAGTTGGTCTGCTTTGAATAACTCAAATCAATTTCCATTCCTATACCCTCGTTTTCGGCACGGTCCTTGTTGCAGGGGCGTTCATCCGCTGGTAATGTTTTACAGCCTTGGTCGCCCTGTCACATTTCAATCAGTGCCCGCACGGATCAACAGCCTGTCAAGATCGCGAATGAACCACACGCAGCCGTACATCGCGGACTTTATTACTTAAAGCTCAGGTGTTCAAAAGTTTTATCCCCTCTGGGCAATTGGCAATGTCTGTGCAATGAGGATCGCCCCTGGTATGGAGAACAGATTTTATGATAAGCTTCATATGTAGGATTCTTGTCCGACACGGGTGGGAGACCTGGGTCAAGGTAGCCAGATACTGGCTCATACCTGAAATCTACTAAACCCGTTGCATATACTGTAGAACGTGCTATCTGCTCTCAATGAGATTACATGGATGAATACATCCACTATAATTTGTAAATACTAAATAGAGGCGACCACGAATGCAAGATATGACATAGTATATGATACAGTAAGTATGTGTACGTCCAGAGTGACCTGCATAACTCCAACACTGTGCGTACAAGATTGGGCCTCACTGGAACCCATCGTACCCTTGACCCCACTGGCCATGCATTCCCATACCGCCCATACCCATCCTCGTGTTTCCCATACCCATACCCATACCTGGACCTCCTACACCCATTCCCGCATTCCCCATCCCCATCCCACCACCCATGCCCATACCAGCCATCATTCCATCCTCCCACATTCGATCACCATCACCTACCCATTGGAATGCAGCGCCAGGCATGTCTCCCATTCCCAATACTCCCATGTTCCCCATCCCCATCATTCCCATGTTCCCCATCCCCATCCCCATCATATTTCCAATGCCCATACCCATGTCCATCGGCATTCCCATCCCCATCATTGGAGACACCATCATTTGATTTTGTGAAGGCGGACGCCGGACATGTTGAATACTCATGTTGGGATCGGCGTTCATATTTGCCACATTCATACCCACTCCAGCACTCCCTACACCTACACCTACGCCACCGCTGATCGCGACCCCAACTCCTCCACTTACACCTGAATTGCCAGAACGCATAGGGGATTTAGGCCGGAGAGCGTCAATTTCTTGTGAATTTGGCACGACGAACTTCCCCCCTGTGAGTGAAGCCAGGTGTCGAGTCGCTTCCTCCCATGAATCCTTGTTCCATGAGTACACAACATCACCCTCTGCAGTCCGCGCATGCTCCCCCACCTTGGCTTCATCGCTTGCAGTCAGCACTGTGACCCACCCGCGGCGGAGGGACGAGCGTGCCCGCCCAAAAAGCTCAAGACGGCGTGTGCCGAGACAAAAATTTTCTATAAGGGTATACATTTCGGGTGGTTTGCGCATCGGATCGGCTGTATCCCCTTCCCAGATGATGACGTCGGTATCTGCACACTAAATTAGTATCCGGTTCTCCAGAGGATATGAGTGTATACGTCAGACATGATTCACGGTTTAAAAGCGTCATGAACGAGCATAGACAATAAAACGATAAAAACCCCAAGTAGAAAACAAGCTCACCAACGTTGCAGTGAACAAACCAGCTGTCAGTTGAGCGACGTACCGTGCCGCGGATACCCATGAGGCAATGTTGTTTGGTGCGGGTCAAAAGAGAAGTAGTAGGTGGATCTGTCTATGTAAATAGAAATAATGTCAGTTTACAGATGAATAGATACAGGGTAACTATGTCGCGCACCCCTGGCCCGCGATTGGTAGTATTGTTGGTTTTTACCCAGACAACATCCTCACACCTGCGGTAGCCCCACTTAGCGAGGACCTCGCGACCACGCTCGAGACCTTCTCCTGCGCCACTACCTACCCACATGAACACAAACGAAGGGTCTGCGGCAAGAGAAGGCACAGGAAGAGCTTGGAGATCGTCCCAGCCAAAAGATGAGGAGAATGGGGGGTCTAGGAGGATGACATCGAACTTTTGGGGATGTAATGAAGAGATGTGGGAGAAAGGAAGGAAAAATGGAGGTGTAGCATGCGCATCAACAGATTCCTTTTTCAGGCTGAGCAAGCGCTGCTGCTTCGGGTATCTGTAATTAACATGAGATCAGATCCCAAGCAGCAGGGAGCAGACGCACTCCTCAAAACGGCGGGAAGGCTCCGCACCCAGAACCCGATTTTGCGGCCACTCACCACTGTCGACGTACCGCTGCGAGTAGTCGTTGCGGATTGTTTCTTCTTCTGGAACATAATTTGCGTAGCGGGCGACCCTCGCACGTTTTGCAGGATGGAGATCTTGGCGTTGTGGACGGGGACGAGGAGCGAGTTGAGGCGATGACGGTGGAGAATGCAGTGGTGACGGTGCAGGAGAATCGATTAATGGGAAATTTAACAGATCGCTGGGCGCAGTTGCAAGAGCACGAAGCCGACGTCGATGTGCCCGCTGTGAATTACGCACGTGTGTGAGTAGCTGCCGATGGGACGTGAGCAGGCTGTTTGCAGAGTTCAGTACATCCGTCGTGCTCGCCACCGCTGTTTGTATGGAGCCAATATCTGCCATGACTAGGGTGACTGTCGACAGTGAGTACTAGTGAGTATTTGCAATATGGTGGTTGGCCCAAGGGTGTCCAGGACTTCAAGTCGTTGCCTTTGATGACTTGCCTCTTTTAGTAATGTATGATTTAGCAAATAATCTTTTCTACAGCTCTAGGCTCTTCCATCTGTTTTCCCTACACTACATTTCGAACATCGAACAACTACAGAATTTAAAACAATGGGGAAGGCAGCCAAATCTAGCCGCAAATTTGCGGCAAGTGGCAAGTTGAAGCAGGCAATTCAGTCGCGGAAGAAGCACCAGCAGATGCAGAAGAAAATTCAAGGGAGACGTGGGGTACACGGGAAGGGAAAGCAACAGGCTGTTACTGAAGTGGACGATAGTGAGCACAACGATGACGAAAAGGAGGTTAAGGGAGTATGTAAGAAAGCAGGGAAAGAGTCAGTTGATTAATTGTCTCTCATTTTTTGTCTGAATACTGAGAATTCTGCTCCAGTGCGAAGAAAATGACTGTCGAGGACTTGCTCGGAGCAGAGTTTATGGACGATGACAATGATGCTGAGGAAGATGAGGTAGGACCGTCATTTTTTTCTTCACTTAGTGCGATTCTGACGCGCGCAGGATGATGCTGAGGGCGACGAGTTGGATACAGAAGAAGATGAGGAAGACGTAGCAGACGACCAGTCCTTTGCGTCTGTAGATGATCTTGAGGGTGAGCGCCTACATGATCCTCATATACTTTGCTTATACTATGGTAGATCATGGCACAAGCCATATGCTTGAGCTCGCACAACTCGCCGAGAAGGACCCTGAGTTCTACAAATATCTACAGGAGAATGATCGCGAGCTTCTTGAGTTCACTGCCACTCAGGAGGGCCGCGATGAAGAGGATTGCGATGAAGAGGATGACGATGATGATGTCATGGACGGAGACGATGAAGAAGAAGAGGAAATGGGAGAGGAACTGCCCATTCTTACGACTGGCATTCTCAAAACCTGGCAAAAAGCACTCCTAGAGGCGAGTCATATATATCTTTATCACACGTGCACTGCTGACCCGACGGCCATAGCATCGTTCCCTGCGAGCCCTCCGCAAACTGCTCATTGCGTTTCGCTCTGCAGTACATATGAATGAAGACGACCAGGTTCTTTTATGGCGCATTGACAATGCCGCAGGTGAGCACCACATTTTCTTGTATCGCGTTTTGCAACCGAATCGGTTTTCCCGACAGTGTATACAAAGCTTGTAACGACCTCCTTGCGGTATACGCCAATTGTCCTAGCCCATCATATCCCATATAAAACACTTCCAAACGGTAAATTGTGTGTCTTTCGTTCTTTCCATGTAGCCTCGCCCTGAAATATCTTGTCTCCCACCAGTAAACAACCTTCGCAATCTGCAAAACAAAAAACGCTGCAAAAATTAACCCTGTCTTACTTCAACAATCTGATTCACCTCATCCCTCAGCTTACCGACCCGGAGACATTGCGTCTCGCGCTTACAGAGAGCGCAAAGATCCTCCCTTATGTTGTTTCTAGCCGAAGGGCTGTCAAGACGTACTTGAAGGCGAGTCTAGATCGACTGTGTTCCTGCTCAAAATCCTTTATTAAGACAGTACTTACCTTTTGTTTTTACCCTTTTCCACTTCCATTCGTCTTTGAATGAGACTGACCCCCAACACAGAAATGTTTAGAATTATGGTCCACAAGTGAAGATGACGTACGGATAGCTGCGTTTCTCGCTATCCGTCGACTTGCGTCTTCCACTGACGACTCTATCGTGGATCTTGTGCTCAAGGTACGCTACGCGAGACTTTGATGCCTGCTACTCCTCTTGATGCCGAACGACCTTACAGAGCACTTACTTGGCGCTTGTGCGTGCCTGCAAATCTACAACCACCTATCGATTACCATCCATTACGCTCATGAAGAACTCCGCGTGCGAATTATTTTGTGTAGATCATGGAGCAACATACCTGCACGCATTTGGGTACATACGCCAGCTTGCAATACTGCTGCGTAGGGGCATGAAGACAAAAACAAAGGCAAGTAAATCCTTGTGAGTAACTTGGGCGGCAGATTTGACGTCTTGTATCACCTTCAGGAGGCGTACAAACAGGTCTACAACTGGCAGTACGCGCATTGTGTCGACTTCTGGGCACTTGTGCTAGGTCGCGCATGCGATGCACATGCGGAAGCCAAGCGAGGGGGCCAGGAGAGCGAACTAAGGCCACTCATCTACCCCCTCGTGCAGGTTAGTCTTGGTGCCATCAAGTGCGTTCTCCACGTGTGGTTTTTCTCGTGCTTATCTTCTTGGCAGACTCATTTCGAATTCACGATCGTATCCATTCCACTTACACATCGCACGCTCGATGCTGCATCTGACTCGACACACGCGTATTTACGTACCATTGACACCTTATCTCCTTCCTATCATCTCATCTACCCTCACGGCATCTGGCAAGCCCAAGTCATCTACGCTGCGCCCTCTCGACATGGAAACACACATACGGGCTCCGGCGCAGTACGTTAAGACACGGGTATATGCAGCGGGACTTGTTGAGGAGACGGTGTTTCTTCTCGCGGAGTGGCTTGGCAGCGGCCCAGTGCATGGAAGCGTTGCATTCCCTGAATTGATCGTACCCATTATTGTCACACTTCGCCGAACAGTCAAAAATTGCAAGGAGTTAGGGAAAGAAGCGGGAATGGTGAAGAGCCTTCTAGAGCGGGTGGAAGACACTGCAAAATGGATCGACCAGTCACGGTCAGGTATCAATTTCGGACCAGGAAAAATGGATGAGGTTGAACAATGGGAAGCCAACGCGGAGATAGCGGAGTCTCCCCTGGGAAAGTACCTCAAAGTGCAACGAAAGAGCAGAGAAAAGCGCAAGAGGATGATCGATAAGGTACGCGCGTATCTTTTTTACCGTGTGGATACTCCTGATGTCGTTACAGGCCAACAAAGGCGAGGATGAAATCTTAGAAGACTAGATTGTAGCTTGCCTACCTGCCGTTAATTATTTTGGCACAAGACGGCGAAGGGAACGATAATCCAGGGGTCACTTTTTCAATTCGATCCTCTCGGAATGGGAGAGGAATAGTGTTGACCCTCTTCTGTCCGCGGAACAACCAATTATTTTCAAAGGCGTTCGGCGAGGACCGAAGTAACCGTTACAGCGCTTCGTTCCGTGTTTTAATTTCCGGGACATTCTCCACCTCCACAATGCTTGCACAATTTCATTCTTGCCAAAAAATAAAAAAATAAAATCTTGACGCGAGCGGTATCCGCCGTCTTTTCCTTGATCGCACTGTGCCTCAATTTCAATGTTTTTGAATTAAGAGATCCGGCGAGGACCGAAATGTTACAGCTAGTGTCGTTCTGCAGGTCATATGGTTTTCATGAGCCCAATTTAGCTTGAGTCGACTTCTCACAGATCATGATTTGTCCGCGACGGAGTCTCAGATCACATGGGTGGAGTTTATGAGGTGTACTAAGAGGTTTAGCGTCTACACACAAAGCGGCATTGTTGGTGCCAAGTATAACGACAGCCGGAAGTTACACCATAAAGTTATGGCAAAGTGATGGTGATATATAGTTGGAACAATACAAATGAGTCTAGAAAACCTGAATGGATGGATCCGAGGACATCAGGACTGGATGACCAACTCGGGTTTCGTGCAGACCTCGGCGTCCACTCTCAGATTAAGAAACCCCTTCTATACATACTCTGAGCTTCTAGCTAGTAGATGACGAGTCTTCCGCTCCACCAAGTGCCGAACAGCAGAAAAAACTCAGAGAAGAACAAGTGCAGATCAGCGGAAAGGAGAGGTCACAAAGGAGAGGTGACTATTTCCATACTCCAAAGAAGACTTTCCACCAAGGTCTCCCGGCACCTCTTGAACTTCTTTCGTATCCTTCCACGAGCCGTTCATAGTGCCTTGGCATAGAAGCCGGCTGAAGTGTTTTTGCTGACAGTGGGTACTGAATGCGGAAAGTGTACGATTGTAGTTGGAATGAGAACACATTTGGTTGCGCTCACCTTCTTCTGTATGGCACTGTCCCGCAGCAGCTGTGCTGCTTGTACAGCCTCGGAGGTTAGTTTTGGATGCGCAGAGAGATAGTTCAGGAAGTTCTTGAGTTGGATATTTGGACGAAATGGATCAGCAGGCCATGATGAAGCGATGGTGGACAGCTTTTGTGCCGCCTTGGAGGCAACCATGGCTGTTCTTCTTGATGATGAGAATTAGATGAACCCGACATATCGCGTGAATACAAACCTTGGAAGTACTTACCAGCAGAGACTCAGACCCAAGGCCAAGGTTGATATTTTTTCTTGTAACTTAGGCACTCCCGACTCGGCATCGGACCTTCAATCTTATGCAAACCTTCGCAAACCTTCGCGGGAAGCTCTGAGTTGGAACCAAAATTCAAAAATTCAATTGGGTCTCTACCATTCAAGTTCGCTTGAGGATCGGGAGCGATCGTCAGTTGCCCCTTCCCGGTCATCGTCCGCGGCCGGACTTCGGACTGCAAGCCAGGGCAATCAACAAAATTTGGGGTGGAAGTGACACTTGTGAATCTGAATCCCACCACGAAATAGATAGATATCCCACATCATCGGAACCTCTATACGCATGCAAGAAGATGCATCATGTCATGTATTTCCTGCATAAGTGGCGCAGAAATCACCCTGCTGTCGCAAGGGGGAAATTCCCATTCGCGGATGACTATACACAGGTTAGCTGATTGCATTATTATATCGAATGATAGCCAGCGGTAATCCACTCGCTCACCTTGACGGTTAGAAAAAATCCCACTGGTTGTCCATCGAGGATGATGGACTTTTCCGGATTTCATCTGATTACGGCCTTCCGTCTCATGCAATCCAGCTTCCTCCGACGGAAATGGAGTCATAAATAATATACATGTGCGAGACCTCGTCATTCCTCCTGCTGGTAAGTGAATAAATCTATTTCCGATGTAGAGAAGGATGGATCGCGTGTTTCAAGTAATGATTTTGTTTGACACTTGTCGTAGTACTACTTTCAATTGAATTCATGCAGTATAGTAGGTACCTAACACTGCCGACATTGCGGGGTAGCACATGTCTGGTTTGCATGTTGGGCGCTAGTTTGACGCTTGCAGTTAGTCGCATGCACTGCCACGCCAGGGCAGTTGCGCCAAGGCGCTCAAGGCAAAGCATATCGCCTAGTTCCGCCCTTCTCTTACAACATGGGCTGCTGTGGCCAGTCAGCGCTCTCATCCAATAATCCCGACACTCAGTACGCTAACAGAGTCCAACAAGTGAACAACGGTATCATTAGCCAGCAACCTGGTCCTCATCCAGGCGCTCAACACCACATACAGCCATTTCAAGACAAATCACCATTGCTAATCCCTTCTGGGCCTTCTCCACCTCCACCAAGCTTTCAACAGAACAACCACTCGATAAATGGCACTCCTTGGACTCACACTCCCTCACCACCTCCTCAAGGCCCGAACTATTCGACTCCCTTGAGTCCAAACCTTCAACTCGGAGGCGCACCATTGATGCCACCCCCAGCTACCTATGCTCCTACAGGACCACCAAATTCTTCCATGTTCTTTCCGCCTCTCTTGCACCCAGATCCCATTCATGCCCCGTCAAGGAACGCACCTTCTGTATCTACTGTAGTAACTCCTGGCAGAATTGATCCGGCGCCTCCAGACGAGGGGAAAATGTCCATCTCTATCGACTTTGGTGAGTATTCTCATTGTTACTGGCAAAGTCCTGTACTGACCTGAATACAGGAACTACCTTTTCTGGTGTCGTGAGTTGGCATGATTTCATAAAGGCTTCGCAACTTATGATTCCAATCTCAAACAGGCATATGCATCGTCTCGAATTGCGTCCGGGAAGATACAGCAAATCCTGCATTGGCCTGGATCTTTTGAAACTTTCCGCAAGGTGCCTACGTGCTTACTATACGATGAACATGGTCAAGTTCTTGCTTGGGGGTTGGAAGCGAAGAACGCTAGCTCTATGCCCGGTACTACGCGCTGTGAATGGTAGGGACTTTATAATAAGCCAAAATTATCTGATTCAGATACTTCATTCAAGGTTCAAGCTTTTTCTCGAGCCACGTGCTCTCCGTGATGAAAGTGCTATTGACCCTCGACTACCCCAATTACCTGTTTGTGTCATTCCTTCAGTTTATAGCACCCATTTACGGTATTCTAGCCTGGTAAAGTAGCAATGGATCTCATCATCGACTTCTTATCGTGTCTGTGGGAATACGCTAAAGAGCAGATTACCCGTGACATTGGTGCTGTGGCAGATCTCAGTCAGTGACCACATCAAAGATACGGATACCTTAATTTATCTGCTGTTCTTTCAGACTCGGCTGATGTACTCGTGACATGCCCGGCAGCCTGGGATGCCAAAGGATGTGATATGATGCGCGAAGCTGCTATTGCCGCAGGCCTCGTGCAGTCGGCTCATGCAGGTGATGGTAACTGGCGCGACAGGCTGCGCATTATCACGTATGATATCTTGGCGTGCTCGCTCCTTCATTTAGCTGATTCGTTTTCAGAGAACCAGAGGCCGCGGCTGTCCACTGCGCCAGACTTACGGATCTGCACAAGCTCAAGCCGAACCAGAATTTCATGATATGCGACGCTGGTGGTGGTACAGTCGTGCGTTTTCTTGTGACCAATTATTTCATGCATTCGACTTATGCATTCTCCGGCAACAGGATCTTGCCGTCTACAAGATCATTGGGCAAATGTCTAACCTCGAGATCGCCGAGATGTGTGCTCGATCTGGAGCCAATTGTGGCTCGCTTTTCCTCGATTTGAGATTTCGAGAGCTTGTAAAAACTCTTTTAGCTGACCATCCTGCTCATTTGGACGCCGCTAGTCTCGCATATTTCATGCATTCTTTCAGCCAAACCGATAAGCTCGCATATAGGGGCGAGATTGACGATGGTTGCTAAATTTCTTACCCTGTGACTCTCACGCTTATGCGCATTATCTGCAGACACATATTTCAACTTCACATGTTTCAATGTACAGGATCCCCACGATTCCTCTGTTGGATTGATCAATGGAGAACTCGCGATTCCAGGGAATCTCATTCGCCGAGAGGTCTTTGATCCTGTTGTGACCCAGGTAACTTTGGTCGTGAGATTTTGCTATTTTCAATGGTCATGGTCTTTCGACAGGTACTGGAAATGATCGAAGAACAGTCGAAGAAGGTAGAGCAACGCATCGACGCACTGCTTCTCGTGGGAGGCTTCGCTGGCAGCGAATATCTCATTAGACGAGTTGAGGTCCGTTTACACGAGTGAAGCGTCATGGAGGACTGATTAGTTCTTACACACCCTCGTGGGACAGGCTCAGTTTTCGGGAAGAATCAAGGTCATCGCTCGCCCTTCTGATGCAGACACGGCTACGGTGCGAGGTGCCGCATTGTACGGACTTTCTCGCAAATCAATTGTATCCACTGTGATCGCTCCACGGTCCTACATCATGAAAGTGGGTGTTCACGCGTTAGCCTGTGTGTTATCCTATTCTGATTGCGTGCAGGTGAAACTGCCTGCTGAGCCGGAGGACTGGGCCAAACGGCCTGCATACATAAAGGAGAACAATGCAAATGTTCCTATTTGTGACAACCGGTAATGACGGCTCATGAACCACCCGGCGTAATGTCTCATTGATTACCGGACCTAGCTTACAATACTTGGTTATGAAGGGCGCTATTCTGCGAAAAGGGTAACTAACGATCTGCTTCAGAATGTTGTCTTGTTGACCTTGTATTGTTTGAAGCCAAATATTGAGGACGAAATTTTGGTAAGCGCGCCAACTGAATTTGCACAAGCTGAACTTTAGTTTAACTTGCAATGCAGCAAATTCTCACAGAATGGACAGGGTGCGATACAACTCTACGCTGATTATCGCCGCTTCACGAGGCTCATAGTTTTGCAGATTGTAACTTCGTAGCCGTATTATATACTTCCGACTCGGACAAGATGATGCGATACACTGATGAAGTATGTGGCGACGTCACGGATATTTTGAGCATATCACTAACCTATGCTTGATGAAGGGCGAAACGGTGGAGCTCTGTAGATGGACTGTTAATCTGAATTCCCTGCCCACGTTCCAGCACAATGCCAGCATACCGCAGCCCAATGGCTTCTTTACAGGTTTGTGGTTGTGATCTGTTCTGAAAGACTGGTACTGACTGTTTGTTTTGCAGAATTCGAATTAGGACTGGAGATTGATAGTGCGGAGGTCCGAGGTGTTTTATTTTACGAGGGGCAGGAATGGAGTCGAGTTGTCTTTGATTTTCTGAATTGATTGGCATGGTGACTGCAAGTAACAGTACTGGGTTTGCTTAATCTCATGTTGCGTTATTATTTAATGTTCCTGGCAATGACCTAAAATACGTTTGACTGGAACGGAAGAGTCGAGTCTCCGTGGGAGAGCGGCAAAAAATTTGCCAACGCGACGACAGGTTGGATGAAACGGAAATATAGTTGACTGCTTCATGTTCTAATTGTCCAAGGTTTTCCGTCCTTCCAATGCGTGCAAATATTGACAGTTATTTGACAGCCATGTGGGATATACGAAATTTTTTGGATTAAATTCTGTTTGATGAAAGGCAGTGATTGAATTCGCAGGTATGTCGTCGATGATGATGTGAACATCCTAAAAGTACTTTTGAGTAAGTACATGACGCCCCCATGCCATGATGCAGGTTTACCAATCAGATCCGGGACTTGGGCTCGTCTCACGCGTTTTCTGCCACGGGGCGATAACTTGCACGAGATCTACCCAGCTCGCTATCCCAGGTTCAATCCTCCGATTTCGCCGCAAGTGTTTGGGTGAACAGATCTCGGAACCCGATCTGACCTGGTGCCTATTGGTAGTCGGTACATTGCCTTCGAGCGTTACCTCCACTCTCGTCCACACTTTTTTGATCACTGCGACATTCCGGTCATATCCGTTTATCGTCGGAGTTCCCCGAACTGTCTTACAGAGGATCGGATTGACATATGAGTCGTCACCCAAAAACTTATAAAGCCTTTGCGATGGATGGCCATTCTCCTCGTTATTTGTCCCTGCAATGTCGACGCAGACACCGGCACTTCACCTTTCCGCAATCCCTCTCAAACAGCTTTATGGTCTACTTCACCCAATAACAGTCCCTAATACTTCTCCCAATGCCAAATTCGCAAATTGGAGTGGGACATTCTCTTGTTCCCCACTCGCAGTCTTCGAACCGGAAACGGAACTTCACTGCGAGCTCATTCTAGAGCTCGCACGACGTGAAGGCAGAGTTGTCCGAGCAGTCGGAGTAGGCCATAGTCCCAGTGACCTCGCCTGCACCACTGGCTACATGCTACGCACCACCAAGCTCGACAAGCTTTTGGAGGTGAGCATAATTTTAGACTCATTCGGTTAAACTTTGTTTCATCCCCGACCCAACTGCCGGACACATTCTGGCTATTCGTCATTGGTTTATCATTAGCACGTAAGCGCGCAATATTGAAGCTGATTTCGAATTTTTTTCCAGGTTCATGCAGATAAAAGATATATCATCTCTCAGGCCGGAATTACACTTGATGCACTTCATGCCGAACTCGCAAAACATGGTCTCGCCATGATAAATGTCGGCTCGATCTCCGATCAAACATTGGGCGGTATCGTTACGACCGCTACCCACGGAACTGGCATAAACTATGGCGTTATTTCTACGCACGTCATGGGACTGTCGTTGTTGCTGGCGGATGGATCTCGTGTATACTGTTCTCGCCAAGAGAGGCCCGATCTTTTCACAGCATCAATATGTGGATTGGGCAGCACGGGCCTTATCTTGACTGTTACCCTTGAAGTGGAACCCGCGTTTCGCCTCAAAGAGGTCCAACAAACCTTCAAGTTTCATGAATGCGTGCGGAACTTGGACAGCCTCATCACTGCCTCCGAACATGTTCGCTTCTGGTGGTTTCCAGCTGCGGATACCATGCGGGTTAGTTCAGCCGATCGTACCGTAGAGGTGAGTTCCCGTGCTCGGCTTATCTACACTATCAACGTAATTTCTAGTCAGCAAAACCGGCAGGAAGCTGGCTCTGGCATTCGTTGATCGGTTTTCACGTGGTGCAGTTTCTACTTTTTGTGGCAAGATTCTTCTTGCCATTAAACCTCTTCATTGGTCGATTTGCATCATGGCTGGTTAGCACCAAAGTCGTCGCGATCGATGATAGCTTCCGTATCTTTAACATGGAATGCAGAGTGGGTGGAGCGATTGTTTTCTTCGTTCTACGTCACTGACTCTATTGTAGTATCCGCAGCACACCACCGAATGGGCCATCCCCTACAAAAATACGAAATCCTGTCTTCATGATTTACATGATTGGCTGATGCGCGAATTCTCTGACCCCGATGGTCTCCGCCCTCATTTCCCTATCGAAGTACGATTCTCCGACAGTGACGACATCTGGTTAAGTCCCAGCAACGGACAGAGGACTTGTTGGATTGGGATCATACAGTACAAGTACGTGTCTTATTTCATCTTTTCTTGCACTGGCTGACTTGTCGCAGACCTTACGGGTTCGAAGTCCCGTACAAGAAGCTGTTTGAGCGTTTTGAAGCCATTCTTTGCCGTCATGGTGGCCGGCCTCATTGGGCCAAGGCACATAACCTCCGTCCGGAGACACTTCGCAGATTGTATCCTCGATTCGATGACTTTACCCGCGTACTTGGCTCGGTCGACCCTCGTGGGATGTTTCGCAATGAGTATGTGGAACGCCACATATTTGGCAAGACAGGCCCAGGGTACCACAACAGAGTTTTCAAGCGTCATACCCCTTCACAATAATATCGCAAGTTTCCAGTTCCCGCCACACCTACAATAAGGCTCGTCATCTCGTATAACCTATTCCAAGTAGATTAGTTCAGCGAATTACTGCATCCAAGGAACGTGCTGGCAACGTATTTTATTCTAGTGTTACATATCACGGTACTCATACACCTAGCTGTTGCCTAATCGACACTCTGACCAGCCTTTCATACTCCTTTGTGAAAGGGTCATGTTCATGAGACAAGAGTGTGGCGTGATACGATTCAGCGCTCACCGGTTTGTTCTCCCGATACAACTTGCAACAGTCGATGTTAGCTCCACTCTCCAAATTGGGTTCTATTGGATGAAACATCAAGAGAAGGACAGAACAAGAATCTGATACGTGAACGTACCGGCAAGCATGGAAATGACACTCAAGATCACCTTCTCCACGCTCTGGACAGGGCTCCATCTCTCAGATGCTTGTTCATACATGGTAGGATCATCTCCGGGGGTGTGGAGGATCGAAATACAAACGTTTCCATCCGGATAAACTGTACACCATCAGCATGGTGATCAAATACATTAAGGAGTTGATTTCACTGTTCGGATGGAATAAGGGAGGGTCGAATTTCATCTTGAAAGGCGATAGCGGATAGTCCTGAGGCTGGGCCAATCCTTTTGAGTTACATTTGCGAGGTGAGCACCTGGACACGTTATCTTACAAAAGTGAGCTTAGCGACAAAAACGCCACCCTCCTGAAATGCCAAGTAGTCGGTCAAGTATGCCTTGCGAAAGGTCGCGGAAAAACCTACAAATGGCGTGCCTTCTGGACCAGAGATAAGCGCTTCCCAAGTGAAGAAGTCCGACTCTGAGATTGGACCTAGAGGTCAAATTGCGGGATTATAGCAGTGATATAGCGATGCATTTGTTTGATATACCTGCTGTGAACATTCCATCGGGCGAGCCTGGAAAGTTGGAACCCAATGAGTGTCAACTGTATCATTCACAAGACATCAAAGTATTGACCTCCAGAGGTCAATTGCCTGTACTCGGTCATTAATCGTCGTAGTGCAGTTGCACTGCTGCCCTTTGGATTCATGTTGAGAAATCCGAGTGAATGTCGGTTGGAACACGTATAGTGACAAGCAAGTCAGGCTGGCAGCACTTGAGCGCTTATTGTCTATTTGACAAAAATGGTAATATTCGACGTAACGTAATGAGTGCACTGTTACTAACATTCGACTACAATGATTTCATGCGCATTGGAACGCATTTCCACCCAGTCGTTACGCTAATACTCTTCACACGAATGCCGCCTCCGTCCTTCATAGCGCTCTTCGTCAAACTTATACCATTGCTCTCATTCCTACCTCAACTCGAGACTGAAAGGTTGCCTCAGGCCAGAGACTCGGATGCGGAATTTATCAGGTATGAAATCTTGAGATTTGAGGTCTCACGCATTTATTATCAAAGGAGGTCCGCCGCTGCCGCAGCGTTCGATGCTACATATGACGTATCAGGACTGCTTGCAAAAAAAAATCAGATGAGTAAAGATGACAACACCTGGCAACACTAGACAACACTGCCATTCGATCATGATCTTTGCCACATGAACGGTGACTTTACGGACCGGTCTTTCATCTATGAGCGCTCAGATCGTGTGCGGTGTAGCCCATGGTGGCGGGTTGCAGTGCCGAACTGTTTATCATATAACGACAGCTCGGTGTTCAAAGTTGTTCCGTGCGGATGCCCTTGGCGGGTACAGCTTGCCGCCAGGGAACTTACTAGGGGAGGAACACACAAGCCATATACTGTGAGAGACTTCGATTACCCCCGTTCAAAGGCACATCCCTTGCTTGTGGGCATATGATTCAATATCACCATAATGACGAGAAGCGGCAGGGCCTACCCTGGATCATACCAGTGGATAAATACCTATCACAAATATACTTTCGGGCAGAATTTGACACGCAGGGCCGACGATACATGATTGGGCGACTTTCCCGACTTCACCTCAGTCCGGACCCTTGCCAAGGACACGTGGTCCTCGGCATAAAGCTATACGACGGTCCACAAGGGCTCATTGTAACTTCCGTAAAATCCATCTCGTTCCTGGATATATGACTAGCTGCACAAGGTGTGGCGGGCATGCCGACACCGATATTCAACCCTTCCCCCCTTCTGAAAAACTACTTTTGCATTTTCAGCAAGCTTGGAAGAAAGTAGTGATCACTGTTTATCAACAACTTTTCTGCGAGTTTCGCGCCAAAGTTTTCCAACGATTGTGGGGGCTTCTGGATCAACGCTGGACCGGACGTGCTTGGTAACGCCGAGAGCCCCAGGCAGCGGGGAACAGATTCTCGGAACACACGCGTTTATTCCTTGAACCCAGATCTGGGTCTTGATAGGTTTTTCTTCGGGATCTACATAGGTTAGGTTCCACAGATATAATCCGGGGTCTAGAGTAGCCAGGTGGCCAAACGCGTATGGCTGTACCACAAAGTGCCTCCCAAACTCGGATAATTCTGTCCCGCAACCAAGCTTTGGATACTTCTCACCCCACACCCCGCAGATGCCGTAATAATTCAGGACTGTAAGCCACCTCCTGCTAGCCCTCTGCTAGCTCACACATTAATATGTTTAGACAGGCATCTTCTATGTGATCATGCATGGTCATATTATTATAACGAACATGTGCATAGCATCGGCGTCTGTTACCACACCACAATGGAGCCGCTTGACGTCGAACACGCGCAATAGCAATTGTGGCTATCAGTTCATTTATCCTCTACAATGACTATACCACATTGGTTTTTCGGTGTGGCCGCCGCCTTAGTAACGTACCTTCAGCTCTAACAACCGGCAGGTCCGGTTATATTTGTAAGGATAAGGAGTCCTCCTGTGCGCTCCGACTGACGGTTTCACACCAAGCATAAGCACCTCAACGGTTCCACTACTCATATCCGAGGCTCCGGGATACATTCCTTTCATTTCTTCGGAGCTCTGCACGGTTTCACGGTTTCACGTCTTCACTATCACCATTTTACGTTAGTTAGGCCCAGCTAAGCTTAGTTGGTAGGCATACCTCGACGCACAACACACCGCCATCCACTTCTATCACTTCTTTTCGTATATGCACTAGCATGTATTCTTGCATCATGCCAATCGGAATCCACCCATGTTTTGATTGGAAAGACCTGTTTTCGCGATCTCTGTCTTATTAGAATGAGTCAAATTTAGCGTGATCAGCGCTATCCCCAATAAGTCATCCAGTGCTATGATAGCCTATCTCTCTCGAGAAATGATGACGGTTTATACGCTGTTGGAAACGTTGAACTTGAGTGCCAGAGTGTTGGAAATTGCAGTTTCAGTTGCTGACCATATCATCTCAAATTCGGCTGGTTTCCATATCTCAATAGATGTGATCTCCCATGAAACCATTTTCTTAGGATCGATCGATTCAAGGTGATCATCACATTACACTCCATTATCCGGGTTTTCCGATGTCACAGGTCTAGTTGCTACCCACCGATAGGATCTGTTAGGCAGTACAACCCTAACGATCAGATGATGGATGGAAAAGGCGTACTGTGGTATTACAGTATGTTATACAGGTTATGCGTCATCAAGAATCAGTCGGGGAACGACATTCATCGCCATCAGCTGTACAAACAATCAGTACTCAACATGAAGTGCACGAACGCTGACGAACCTCCTGAAATAATAATTTGGCAGCGTACGGAATGGTAAGCTTAGCCATCTTCTTCGAGCTCTTGCAGTATGTACACCACCCGTTGTACCCCATGAGACCACATTCCTGGCAAGCGTTCACCTCGAACTTGTCAGAAGAGATCATCAGGCGTTCAAGCAGCAACTGGGTGGCACCATAACCTATAAGGCAGTCTCGCTCCATTTCCCCGAGCCGTAGACCACCCTCGCGGGACCGACCTTCAGTAGGCTGGCGTGTCAAAGTCGCACGTGGGCCTCTTAAGAGAAACGTTGACAAGTCAGTAACGGTTCATCAGAATTTCTCAGGCTCATTCAATCGTACCTAGCGCGGGCGTGCATTTTATCCATTACCATGTGTTCTGTGGCGCATGGGAGTCAATTGCGGACAATGTTAATGTGGGACTTCTCTCACTCAGTTTCTGTGAGACAGTCAGTTAACTGAAACCTTATATGACGCAGCGAATTGGCATACTTGATAGTATATTGGACCGAAATAGACATAAGCTTCCAGGGCTTCACCAGTGATACCGCTTGTGAGCATGTCCTTTCCGGCATAATTAAAGCCATGCTCGATTAAGATCCGGGACATGTCTTCAACCTGTGTAACATAATTGGTAATCAGAGTTCGATCAGCACCAGCACTGGTGTCTGTACCTTGGAGCCCCCAAATGCTGTACCGTACTGCAGTTTGCCACTCAAGACCCCGGCCTGCCAAACAAAATTAGCCCACAGAATGGCACGTAAATGTGGGTGGGGGTTACCTTCCCTGCTAAAAGCTCGATCATCTTACCGACCGTCATTCGAGATGGGAATCCATGTGGGTTCATGATGGTATCTAACCCCAAAGTTAACTGAGGGAACACTAGCCAGGGACATGTTTACTTACCGGGGTTGATTCCCTGATCGTTGAAGGGCATGTCCTCTTGATTTACGATAAGACCACATACACCTTTCTGGCCGTGTCGAGAAGAGAATTTATCACCCAGCTCAGGCCTCCGTGTCTGTCGGATCAAGACTTTGATCAACGTTTGGTCGTTTTCGGTATCGCTGATCATGACTTTATCAATGTAACCAGCAACTGGGGATTTATAAGACATCGGCGCATTCTTGTAAGGGACCGCGGCGGCTTGGCCGCTGAAAGTATTATCGTTGGCGTTCGTTGGCGTTTGCTTGTTAACATAGACGTCCCCCGGGTCAACTCGCTCGCCGACGCCAGCGAGACCGTCAAGTTGAATGATATCATATTTTTTCTGAGTTTGCCCATTCTCGTCCAAGGGAGCATCGGCTAACCGATCAAAGCTAGAGATCGATACTGAGGCAAAGAAATGTGCTCGACAAAAAGCTCCACTCACGTGCCGTTTGGATATTTCCGAATGAGTGTGGCGTTCTTGCGCAGAACTTGGCACCTTCCATAACCGCGATCGAGACTTGCCTGCACGTCAAGTCAGATTACCAGTTGACATGTAAGACAGGAAATGGTGGCCAACTTTATTTTGAATGAGAGCATCTTCAATGTCATACCCAGAATAACTCATCACCGCAACCGTAGCATTTTGACCGGCTGGCAGGCGGTCGTACCCAATAAGTTCGATGGTTTTCGTCTTGACCATCGGCTGTTGCGGATACACGGATAAGTAAAGAAGTGTGTCGATCCTATTTAGTTGATTGTAGCCGATTGCGCCTATTGCCTGTTTGCCCATAGCACATTGATAGGTATTTCGAGGCGACTGATTGTGGTGGGGATATGGTATAAGACCGGCGACAGCGCCCAAAATAGTAAACGGTTCGATCTCCAGATGCGTAGTCATTGCGACAATATCGGACTCATAAAGTGCGATGTAGGAGTCGTTCTCTTCATTTACATCGAGGTATTCCACGAGACCATTTCGGAGGAAGTCATCGAATGACGCAGCGCCTTGCTTGAGTTGCTGAATGACCCAAAAATGACCAACTTGCTGTAATATCAGGAAAAGAATCTTACCGTGATATGCTCTGACGTGACTCTTGGTCGACCGTTCTCTACGATGATCATTGGTCGACAAATTCGTCCACCGTCGCTTGCTATATGAACAGCGTGATGGTGGTGATTAACATAGATACCGACAAACTCGCTGAAGCGGCCCGCTCTGCGAAGTCTGCGGAAGTTTGTCACAAATCGCATCGGATACCGAGTCAGCCCAATGATCGTGCCATTCACGTCAACCACAAAGGTATGTGGTCCGTATATCTCCGTGCCTGTGGCCAAGCTGATATCTAGCAGTGCGTTTCGTATCAGAAATAGGTATGACGCAATCCGAACGCACCTTCGACGCCAAGCATTAATGCCAAACGGATAATTGGTCCTTCTTCTACGTCTGTGGTAATATGCGTCATCAACGCAAGATTCTTGACTAAACCACACGCTTCTCCTTCTGGAGTATCACTTGGACAT